AGTGCATCATAACAAATTTCACCCTTCAAGCCAGAACACAGCAAGAGCTACATTTCCTTGATTAAATTCTGCCATGTCATCTACTACTTCAGTTTCCCTACAAAAAGAGTTCATCTTAAAGATGCTAAGAAGTCTTCACTCCAGCATTTTTACTCCCTCTTGGATAAGCAGGCTGGAACTTGAAGCACAAAGAAGCAATGTTGAGTAATTCACACGGCCAGGAAGGGGACCAGCTTCCTGCCTTAGAATAACATTTTCAGAAGGTGCCTCAGATACAGCACTGCAGACAGACTCCCACACCTTCTATTTAAGTACAGTGGAGTTCTGTCTTCTCAGAGGCACTGGGGAAGGTTGGTTCAAGGCCTTTACTTGGCATCCCCAGCGAGGTATTGATCTGTGGCTACAAAAAACAATCAGCAGCCTTTAAAAACAAAGTTCGTCTTCAGCGTGCTTTTGTTTGTTTACAACTGAAAAGCTGTAATAATGTAAGCACGTGGAATTTTGAAAAACAACAACAGCTATAGCACAGGGGAATGCTTTTAGGAGTTTCCCCCCACTGGTTTTGCAGACCCTTATCAGCTCTATGCCACAGCAAACTGTTTATAGAGCAAGCACAAAAGACAGCATTTACCCATCTCAAATCACCACAAGGACTAATGCTCAAAAAGCTCCAAAACTCCCAACAGGAGGGTAACTGTGATAAAAGGGAAAGCCCACAGAAGCTGTTCCCCCAACCTGCCAGCTCCCAGGTGACAGATTCCTGCCACTTTCACACACCAGTAGGTCCAAGCAAGCCCCACCTGGCATGACATGAGCATCACCTTCCAAATTAGGTACAGCTGGTTTCCTCTTTGCTGTGTGAACAGTCTGAAACATGCCATAAGCTTCTCTTTTCCTAGAAAATCTAAGGCTAGTGGCAGTTATCAGAAGCATGAGGTCATCACTGAAGAGATAAGATGAACAGTCAGACAGCAAGATCTGCAGAGAGCATCTAGCTGCTGCAGGAAGCAGAAAAGATATTAGACCTGGATTCACTTGAACCAACCTCTGCACGACTAGCAGAAGCAGTCAGGGGACAAATACAGGCACTGTTGCACCTACAAACTATAAGATTCAGGCATTCTTTTTTCTTCTGACAGCAACCCATGTTATGTTCTGTTTTAACTTAATTACTCCTCCTAATGATTCTCTTCCTCCAAGTGTTCACTAGAAGCTATATAGATTTCTCCGAAGCTAGAATAATTTGTCTTGTGGTCTACTGTAACACATTATCCACTCTCTCACAGCACTCCATGCTTTTTTCTTCCTTCTAATTAATGCTGGATGAAAAGAGGTACTTTCTTCACTGAGGACTAAAGGTTGCTGCCATTTGAAGGTCCATTATTTGACCATGATGTATTTTCCTGAACAGCAGAGTCCTTCTGCCGGCTCTTGCACCGTGCTCTGCAGCTCTGAGTAAGTCATTTTCCAAGAAATGCCTATGGTTTTAACTTGCAAATAGGCAACAGCATTTGTCCAGCCCACAAATCATACTATAATTACATATGTCTTGCAATTAGCCTCTCTGCCAGCACTCTAGCAATGCTGCCTTTTTCCTGGTCTTTTATCCATGCTGGTGAATACTACAGAACACCTTTCCAGTGCTGAAGTCTGTGCTGCAGGAGAGACAGGACTAGCTCAACACAACTGAGTTTTAGGTCCCAACCTGCCTCCAATTTCCTTCCAGGCAATTTACAGCCATCAGCTAATTCAGCATACACCATCAGAGCCTGGTGGCTAGGTATTTGATTAGGAATATATAAGAATGCAAGAAAGAAGGATGCTTCTGAGGCAAATACTCAGGTCTGGGATCAAATAAATGCCAATTCAGTTCCCACAGCACTGGCACTGCTTGGCTCCCTTCAGCAGAAATGTGATGGTTTCACCTCCGTTCGAGTCCTTCCACCCACTGTTCCCAGCTCACAGTCACTGCCTTCTCTGCAGCCCCCTTAGGCCATCTGTTCTGCAGAAGTCAGAGGTGCCTTGTTCTCCCCACAAGGAGCAATGCAGCAGGAAGGCACCAACACCATAAGCATGGACTCGCTGACCCTCTGAGGTCTCTCCCAATGCGAATTATCCTCTGAGCCCATAACCACAGCAGCAGCAAATGCCTAGAGATGACCAGATTAACCTTCCTACCAGTTTTGAGGCCCAGGATAAACCAGTCTGCAAGCAGACGTGTCACCTGGCTGGCTTCTGCACAGCTTCTCTCGTCTCTTCAGTGATTTTAACACCATCAGCTGCTACAGCAGCCACCATGCTGAGTCCCCGGCAGCAAAAGCACACATAGCTGCCTTGTCGACATCTGGTATTATAAATACAGGCTCTGCACTGTTGGATAATCCGTTAACAGCAGAATAAGCGACACTGAAGGAGTAATTAGCAGCAACTAAGAAGCCTTTGCGTGCAGGGAGAAAAAAAAAAAGATATTTGTTTGGGAAGATACATAAGTAAACACCAATTGCAGTCAGCATCGCTCCTCTGTGCTTTGAGGCTTTTAGTATGTGTGGGATTCAGCACTGCTGCAAGATGCCAGCAGCAGCCCTGGGCTGAAGTCCTGCACAGCCAGAGCACTGGGACCAGCAGGCTGTCCTACTGTGTGAACACAACTTGATCATTTGGAATGAGTTTCACAGGTATGGATGAGAAAGCCAGCCCTGCAGGACCTGCAGCCTCTCTGCTGAAACATCTCTACCAAGCACATCATGCAGCCCAACTGCATGCAGATCTCCTTGCGCTCTGAGCAACTCATCAGCACCCTTATTCCATGTGCAGTGAGCAGCTGCTGCACCACCATCCCAGTGCCAGGCTGGAGATGTGACATATGCCACAGCCACACTAACAATGACATTTGTACACAGCAGGCCATGGCTTCCCCTCACACCCTTATCACAATCACAACGAGGAACAATGCTTATTCCACTCTTTCATAGCTTCTTTTTGTGGTTTTCAACCCCTACACGATAACGTGATGTATTACAGCAGGGTCCCAGTGCTATTTTAGCAGGTTTGGGTTTTGCTGCATATACATGTATATTCTGTGCAAGATGTCTCATGTTACCAGTCTCTAATCCAGCCAGCAATCAATGGTATCAAATGGAAAAGGGGCTCCTCCCTTTGACACGTTTTCCATTTCCAGCCCAATTATTTCCTTTATATACTTCTCTACAGACAGCTTCACACAGCCCCTGCTCCGGGGATCCACCATCACTGCATCTCCTAAAAGCCACCATAGCTCACTGCTGGAGGGACTGATGGGACCCCGAAGTCACAGGTTCTCCCAGGAATCATCCACAAAATGGAAAACAATTTCATTCATTTGATCTCCAGCAGGCAGACACTCCCCAGTTCCCGTTGGTCCCAGTGGAGATGACAGAGACCCCATTATGTTTTCTCAATCTAAAGAAAGGAGCAGCACACCCCAACTACATCCCTCAACAAACCCCCCTCTGGTCCAGCAGCCATCCATTACACATTACAGCACTGCCTGCACAGATCCTCTAAAAAGGATTTACGAGGTCAGGCTGCCAGTTACTTAGAAAGCATGAAAACAGCAGAGCCAACAGGTGAACCCACTCTGCTTATCACATTCAGGGGACCCCTCCTCCCCTTCAGTAAGCTGTGGGCCTGCAAGTCTTCCCCTTTGTGGGTAGGAAGCTTTATTTTCTTGTGGGTCAGTGGACAAAACGGTGGATCCTGGCTGGTGACCTGAGGCTCAGTGAAGTGCGTTCATGCAATGCCCTTCCCCTGCACGACTCCCAGCACCTCTGGGGAACACTGCATAGACTGGTGGAAGCCTGCCAGAAAGAATCCCAAATGCTGGATGTGTTTCTGTATTTTAAAGAAATCTTGCTCCAGCTGTGCTTTCTCTGAGCCAGATACAATCCTGCGCCTTCTGCCCAGGGGATGCAGCCCTGCTTGAGGCAGAGGAAGAGAATTTGGGGTGCTTGCAGGTAAACAAACAACTCATACACACTGCAGACCTTCCCAGCAGCAGAAGAGCCTCATGAGCCATTCTGTATTGTATGTTTAAGCAGAAAGAGTGGGGGTAGGAGAGCAGCATCCAGAGACATTGTCATAAATACATTTTTCTGATAAAGAAAAGCCCACGCAAGCATCTGAGCAGGTATCACAGCAGCTGCTGCTGCTCTCAGACAAGGCAACAGCAAGCTGCTTACAGCATCACAAAATACCTTGATAGCTAAACCTGCGTAGGGCTGAATGCAATTAATTAAGGAGGTCAGCACAGCTGAGGAACAACCCCTCCCCAGGTGTTGTGTGTCTGTGCTGGAGCGGATCACCGCGCTGCCATTGACTCAAGTTGCAGATGATGAATGCGAAGGTCACATGAAGGGAAGGCAGCGGTGCATCGCCTGCCACAAAATGGTAGCAGCGGGGATGCGGGCGCAGGGGAGGGAGAACCCCGTCCTTCCCGCAGCTCCAGACGCGGCACCCGTCACCACGAAGGGGTCGGAACACGGAGCAGCACCGACCCTCAGCCTCACGCACACCCGACCGGGGATGGGGGGGAGGGAGGGGATGTTTCGGAGCCGTTCTGCCCCGTTATGTAACGGGGGCTCCCACCAGCCCCGAGCTGCGGCAACGCCGGGGGTTCCGCCGCGGTTCCCTCCCCCTCCTCGCACCGCAGCGCCCCGCACTGCGCGCACCCCGCGGCTCAGCCTCTGCACCGCGCCGTGCGTGCGCCGCACCACCCGTGCGCCCAACGGCTCCGCCGCGTGCAGCCGGCAGCTCCGCGCCCGCGCGCCGCTCAACGCACGCCCCGCATCTCTCGCGCACCCGGCGGCTTCTCCCGCGCCCCGCACCGCCCCGCACCGCCCCGCACACCCCGCGGCTCTGCCGCACGCGCCGCGCTCCCCGCGCCCCGCACCGCCCGCGTCCCCCGCGGCTCTGCTCACGCCCCGCACCGCCCGGGACGCCCCGCAGCCCTCCCCGCCCCGTACCTCCCGACGAAATTCTCCAGCACCGAGCTCTTGCCGGCGCTCTGCCCCCCGACCACGGCGATCTGCGGCAGGTCGAGGTTAGCGTTCTGCCCGATGGCGGCGAAGGCGTCCTGCAGCCGGTTGACCAGCGGGATCAGATCCTCCATCCCGCGGTTCCCCATGGCGGCGGCGCGGCTCCTCGCTCCCGCTGACCTCCCGCTTCAGCTCTCACGGCGGCGGGTACCGACCCTCCTTCCCGCCCGGCCGCTGGGCACCAGCCCGCACCGCTCAGCCCCGCTCGACGCCGCCCGCTGCCGCCCGGGCTCAGCTCTCCTCCGCGCGAGCCGCCGCCGCCGCCGCCGGGGGGCGCCTTGAGGCTGCGGGCGCCGCGCTGCACGCTGGGAGTTGTAGTCCGCGTCAGGGCGCCGCCTGAGGGGAGGATTCGGCCGAGGTGTCCGTGCAGGGCGGTGCTGCGGCTGTAGGTTTTACACCCGCACGCCCTGGGAAGGCGTCACGGTGCGACCTGCGGCGCTGCTGGGTGCACGGACACAGCTGGGACCTACAGCAGCGCTGCGTTTGTGCTGCTTCGTCCTCGCTGAAAGAAGGATGAAAAACACATCGATTTCTGCTTGCTGCTGCAGAAGAGGAGCTGTTGCTGTGCTTGTTGTAATGCAAATAAGGGACGTCGTTTTACCACAGACGGATGACTTTTAATGGAGAAAACTGCCTTTAGCCTTGCCGAAGGGATAATTTTTTTGTAATAAAAAAGTAACACGAGGCCACGTTTGATTTGAAAGTGCAGCAGTGAAAGCAGGTGCTGAGCAACGGGCGGCTGCAGTGCAGGGGATGCCGTGTGTCACAGAGCTCAGCCCTGCTCCTGGGTGGGGGCAGTGGGGGGAAGGGGCACCAAAACCTGCAACAGATTTCGAGCTGTGTGTTTTGTGTTAATGGCTTTTTTTATTATTATTATTTTAATGCTTCTAGGCAAAGTGTCACAGATGTCTGTCAAATGGAATCCGTGCAGAAATGCTAACCTGGGTGTACAGAGAAAGCAGCAGACGTGTGGATGGATCCGTTTGCTTCACTGTGGTGGGAAAGATGCTCAAGAAAAATGCTTGGGAGCATCGCCAGCACGCAAGTCAGACAGCTGACGGAGGAAAAGAGAGCAGATCTGCTCCATCTGCATAGGTAACATTATAGTAGGGCACACGTGGGTTGTTTTGGGGGCTGTTGATGCTATTTTTTCTTCCTAGCATATATCAAGAAACAAGCTGTAGAAACTCAATAGATGCTGTAGACAAATGTCTTTGAGCATCTTCTAAACCATTCTGAAGACTGCTTTTCCAGCACAAGTCGATAGCTGCCCTTTTTTAGATGTCACCACAAAGACCAAAGAGCATCAGACATTTGAAGAGCGATGTCACCTTCCTCTATGAGTCAGAGCTGGTGTTTAGGGTACTTCATACCGTAAGGGTCTCTGAAGCATTACATGAAGAACCACGAGAAGAAAATTGCTTTATTCCTAGAAGTTGGTATAACCTGAAGTTTAAGCACGTGGCTCTAAGTTTACTGCAGAAAAGAAAGCTACCTGGCTATGTCACTGCAATAGTATCTCATAATACAACAGCTGAGCTAATAAGCCTTGATGACTAATTAGCTTCATCTGAAGCTTCCATGGTCCTAGGCACTGTATTTAAAGTCAGCCCGAGGCTGTAACTGCTGAGGGAATTATGGAGGAGTGTTGATTTCCAGCTCAGTTGCATCCCTGTCTGCTTATAGAGCTGCTTGATTCTTTTCTGACTTAGAACTTGTTGCCTTAGCTTAGTATGAGTTATATCTTGTTGTTGTCAACCTGCTTAGAAATCACTGGTCCTACTGCTAGCATTCAGCTTTTCCTAGCTTTACCTTACACCTGCCCTATTGCTGCTGTTTGCTTTGATTGGGCCTCTGTTCTGCTTGCCTTCCTTAGTGCCACTGCATCCAGGCTCTGGTTGGTAATGCTGCCTCGTTAGCTCTGCAGTTCACCTATTGGCTTCTTATTTGCTTCAGGAGAAGCCCTGTTCTTGCTGCTCACTGATATCAATGCTTATTGCCACATTAATGCTTATGGGGACTTGACTTTTCTCCTTTCCTTGCACTCATCCCTATGAATCCACACCTGCCTCTAATGCTTCTATCACATTAATTATATGTGATTGTGACAATTGCAGTTTTTGTTAATAATAGAAACATCAAACAGTATAGATTGTATTTTACTCCTTAGTGTTTTAGGCAGATATTTTGTTCTTAGTGAGACTGTTAGTCCAGAATTGTTCAAAGTTATACTACTTCATGGAAAAGCTAAAATACATACATTTGTTTTGTGAAAGAACATTGATAGCACAGTATATCAACAGCTGACATTCAAGACATCAGGAACATGAATTTGTGCTGCTGTTTAAGGAGAAAGGCTCAGGTTTGACATCTGCAAGTATTTTTTTATATATTTACTGTTTTATTTTCCTCTATTAAACTGACACTTAAAGCTTGGAAATATGTGGCCCTATCATCAAAGGGTCATTTGTCCAGCTTATTGAGGTCTCCAAGGACAAAAGTACACTGGAGGGATGGGAGGGAGCTGACAGTTCTTCAAGTAAAAAAGAAAGGTGGGAGGGAGGAAACATGGTAAAAAATTGCAGTGATATTCCTGAATTTTGCACAGGTCTCAGCAGATCAATAGTAGTGAAACTGTTACAGAGGTTAAAAAAGAAAAAGTTATTGCTTCCTCAGCTTTGCAGTTGCACTCTGAGAGAAATGACAACACAGTACGTGCCTGCAGTGTTACTCCTATGAGAACTCATTAATATCATGGAGTCTGTTTAAGCATTTCAGCAGCAGTTGCAGCCATGTAGCTCAGACTCAAACAGCACTGAAGAAAGTGAGGCTTGATTTTCAATAAGCTCTAGAGAACCTACACCTCCCATTGATAGAAATGAGAACTGCAGGCACTTAGAATCCCAGTCCTAAACCTTCCATTTTCTCTCCTGCAAGAACCTTAGCTGTAAGGATGTTAGGAGCACAGCCCTTTTGATTCTGTTATACCTCCTGCTTGTGACTTACACAGCAGCACTGCAAGCTTTAGGAGAAAAACAGCTATGTGATCCTTTAGGGGAAATACTGAAGAGCAGCAATGTTTGTGAAATAAGACAGAATGTCTGCCCTTGGAAAAATAACATTTAGCCTTCTGAGAAAGAGGCAAAAACATGGAATGTGATTAGCTTGTGGTTCTCCTAGTTGTCTGCAAACTGTTTCTTAGACGTGCAGATGTTGCACAGTTTCCCTTCTTTCCAGGTAGAGTTATGAATGTTTGGGAAATGTTGATAAATAAAGGAAAGAATGTAAGTGCTGCAGAGGACTAGGGATAGGATTATTGCTGTATGCATCACTGTAGAGTACATTATATAGCCAATTTGTTTCTATTGCTATAGGCATTTTCATATCTTCATATACATTTTTAAAGTATTTTATAGGTACTTAAATGCTACTGTAGTAGTGATGATTCTGTGGTAGCATTGTTGATCTCTTGTATCTGTCTCTCAAATAAAAGGTTTCTCTAGTGTTCTTATTGGTTGGAAAAGCTATCTGAAAGAAAAACGGCTCAGAGGGCCGTGATCAGTGTTATTCCTTACAGGACATAATAGTGATTATTTTTCTTCTGTTCTGAAAGTTTGCTGAACTGGTTTGCAAATCCCTCAAAAAGAGTACAGGACTATGGGTAAGGTTTGTCTTTAATGCAGCTCCACAGAAGCCAGAATGTATATAAGGAAAGAAGCTGAACATTACAGTCTGTTAGGATATGAATGTGAGTTTAAATGAGCAGCAAAGCTGAGCTCTCTGTGCTTTCCACATCTCCTGAGGGGACACATATTGTTCTGAAAGAAGCACATTGGCCATTTGGTGAAACGGGTAAAAGTGGTACCTGTGTTTCTATGCTGTGGGCCTGCCCTGCCAGTGGAGAAATATTGGGAATGGGTTTCTGAAGCAACAGAACAACGAGTGGTTACAAATATCCCACTGATAATTTTCCTTTGAGTTACTGTGTGCTACTTCTTTCACGTGTGTGAATGTGGTCCTTCTACAGATAAAATGGAAAACAGAGTAACTCTAAGCACAGTCTTTGAGGGCAGGCCTGGTGCAACTTGACACCGTTATTCATTACTTCAGTGGATAGACTCCAAAAGCAGGAGGAAAAAAAAAAGTACTTTCTAGCTCCATATGCTTTTTTCTTCAAGGAATTTGATAGGTTTGAGACACTGAAGTGAGAATGAGCTTATATCCTAGTGAAATGGGTGAGTAATAGCACTGCAGACTTCAGAGGAGATGGTAGGCAACAGATTTTGGTACCTCTCATAGGCACTGAGAAATTGAGATTACTGCTTTCGAAAATCCAAGTATATGCAGCTTCACCAAGGATTGCACAGCAACTCTTTATCAGAGTTAAAATTAAAATGTGCAACTGCACAGTCCAGGCATGTTCTGTAAACTAGAAATGTCTGCTTATCTGCAGGCCTGATCTGATCCCTGGAACAAATTCACATAGCCCAGAAAAAACTAGTTTGAATATATAATGCAATCCAGCTCCTAGATAAAAAGCATTCATATGGTCTGTCCCTTATCTACCACGACATGTCACAACCCCACTTATTCCTGTAGAAGCATAATGCAGTTGTTGGGTCATCTCTTTATTGAAGAATAGTTTCTGGGTCATTTCCCTGTCTTGACCTTTTAATTGTTATAACTGTTTGATTTTCTGCCATTGTCAATGAGAGAATCTTTGTATAACCAGCCCTGGCCATGGGATACCTCAGTCTTTATGACTTAAGACACTGAGTAACAACTTGCTGCACTAAGACTTTAAGGTTCCATGTATTCACACAGATGTACACTGAGAGGCAAGTTGCCTAATTGTTGAGAGGGAGATATTCCTCATGGGGAAGGAAAACAAAAACAATTTGATTTTCATGAGACAAGAGCTAAAGTTCTGTGTAGCAGCACTCAGTAAGGAACAACAGTGCCCCTTGGCTGACAACGTAGAGCATGCTGTTTTGCTGCTTGTGGTCAAGGAGAGAAAGAATCCTAGTCCAATTTCCTATGCTGTTAACCTGCATCTATATCTCCCAACTGAGCAGAGTGATCAGGTGAATGTAGAACCTTCTCCTTAGGATTCAATTAAAACATCATACCTACTTCTGGCTATGTCTGGTACATTACTGCATCTCTGAAGATCGCCTTTGGAACATGGGTTGATAAAACAGGAGGTGTTTTTACTTCCTACAGCCCTAACCCTGACTTATACTGTGTGTGCATGGGACTAAATCCATGTTCAGTTTGTGTCCCAGTCCAGTAGGGTCTGTGCACTGAATGGGAGGCTTATAGTTTAAAAGCTTATGGAAGGTTGTTTATTGAATAACTGGAGTACAGGATCAAGCAGAAGAAAGCCCAGGCTTTAAGGGAAGCCTCCAGCCTACATTAGAACATGTAACAGTAAAACACTAGACTCTTAAGTTTCTTACATACTCACTAATGTGACCCTTTGTAGACTTCTGCATGTTATATACTGTATAATCAATGAATGTGCAGCTGTTACAATTATGAAATATACCAGAGAGCTTGGCTAAGCAGTTGTTATACCAAAAGAGAATAAGATAGAATGCTTACCCATGTCCTGGGCTCACTATGAAACTCCAGAAGAGGGATCTCCAGAGGACATCCTTCCCCACTGGTAATCAGCTCTTAAATGGGTCTAGGAGAAGTGCAGCCAGGCTTCACCCCTTCCAGCAGTGCAGGAGAATTGCCTTCACCTGTGCTCCCAGGGCTGATTCATTGCTCACCTCAGGTGATCAGTCAGAGGTTCAGGCCATGATTCAGCAGTTCCCATACATACCAAGAACACTTAAAAAAAACCCTTAGATTTTAGAAATAAGAACAGAAGACAACAAACGAAGCGTACACAAAATAAATCAATTAACACCAAGTCACTCGAGCTGTGGTCATTTCTACAACCCGATGTCCTTTATCTCTCTGGTTAATACAGGGAACAGTCATGCATCTCTAGGATTGTAAAGCTAACCGTTTTGCCACTGCAAAAAGTCAAACTGGTAAATGCTGTAACAGTGTTGTTACAAGAGCGAAAAGGAGCAATCGTGCAAAGTTATGTGAAAGATTCAACGCATTTTCTGTTCCGTGTACGTATTCCATGTGATGGTACTTGAGCTTTAATGCTTAACAGGAGAGCATTTCCTCTGTGTGCGGGCGGCTGTGGCAGAATAAATGAGTGGGCATTACCATGGCATTCATTGATCGATACGGGTGGTCATCTCCAGGTTGATTACTGTAGAATCAGAACAGTACAAAAAGGCCCAAAGGAAAAATCAACACACGTGGTTGCGTTGAAAACTGTCAGTGCTAACAGTATATCACTAGGAGTTATGTTCAGCTTACAGTATTTTCATCTAGCAATCAATCCTGGGGCCTTTAATGAGTCAAGCAGTCTTGACTGGCGTGGATAATAAGACTATTTATAAAGTAAATTATTTCAGGATGGATTCTCTGGGACGGCAAAGAGCAGAAATGTGTCTGTACCCTTAGTAGGCATAACACAAGGAGTGACAGCACAATATTTTTTCACACAGAGGCCACGCACGTTGGACATGCTTAAAATTAAGTCACTGCTCACAGAAAACAAGTGCTGGAGGGATGGTTTTGTGGGAACTCTTGTGAAATAAATAAAGCACTGGTGGATGGACCTGCTAGAAAAGTCATCTCCGCCTATGCGCAGTGCAAAGCAGTGCTGCAAAATCATAGAATGGCCTGGGTTGAAAGGGACCACAGTGCTCATCTGGTTCCAACCCCCTGCTGTGTGCAGGTCGCCAACCAGCAGCCCAGGCTGCCCAGAGCCACATCCAGCCTGGCCTTGAATGCCTGCAGGGATGGGGCATCCACAGCCTCCTTGGGCAGAAAAAGGTGGCTGCTTGTTTTCTTCCAGATTCTCGTGGCAGCCTCGCCGAGATGCGATCGCAGCAAATGGCCAGGGGCTGTTGTTTGGGGATTTTTTCCCTTGTTTTCAGAGACCAAAGATTCTCCTGGACCATTTAAAAAGACAAAACCCAGAAAACTAACGCGGTTGGACACCATCTGCTCCCTCCCTTCAGCCGGTTATCAATTCCCCCTGCCCCAGCCCAGGACAGATGGCGCCCATCCCCTCCCAGGCTTCCCGAGGGACGGGACGCCCCGCTCCCGCGTGCAAGGGACGAGAAACGGGGGTGTCGCGAACCGGGGCGGTGCGGGAGGAGGCTGCGGGGGTGATGCGCGCCTCGCAGGGCCGCTCTCCCGGAGCAGGGGACGCGGGCGGGCGCGGCTGGGTCCTCCAGCCCTCCAGAAGGAGCTGCTCGTGCCCGGAGCGGCGCCGGGCGGCCGTCCGCCGGGGGAAGATGGAGGCGGGCGGCCGGGAGCGGTGAGAGCCGCGGGGCGAGATGTGAGTGCCGACGGGCAGGGGAAGGAAGGGGAGGGTGGGAGCGGGTTTTAGGAGGTGGGGTTTGGAAACCTCCTCCGCGGGCTGCCGCTCGCGATGACCCCGGGGGGAAGGAGGAGGAGGAGGAAAGGGGGGATCGGCTCGGTGAATGAATGGGCGGCGGCGGCTCCCCCGCTCCATGGCCGCTGGGCTGAGCCGCGCCGCCGCCTCCCTCTCACCGCCGCGTTTCGTGTCAGGCTCGCCCCGTTCGGAGCTCCCCAGCCATGTTCAACCAGCAGCAGTTCCAGCAGCAGCTGCTGCAGCTCCAGCACCTCCTCCAGCAGCAGCAGCACCACCACCCCCCGGCGCAGCAGGGAGGCCGGTAAGCGCCGCTACGCGAGGCCGGGGATCGCGGGCCTGTCCTGAGGGAACCGCTCTCCTCCGCCTCCGGCCGAAGCCTGGCGCCGTGCCTGCCCTCCCCGGGCGGGGAAGGCGACGAAGGGGAGCGGGGGACGGCGGGCGGGGGCGGGGGGTTGGACGAAGGCCCGGAGGCTTCGGGGCGATGAGGGGCGGCGGGCCGGGCCGCGCTGCGGGGAGGCCGCGCCGCGGGGTGCTGGCGCTGCGAGCCGGCCCTGAACCGCACGGCGCCGAGCGGAGCGATGAAGGGATGCTGCGGGCAGCAGCCTCCCCTCGACTGCCCTCCTTCCCTCCCCGCCCGCGGTGGGGTTGGGGGGGGGCGGTGGATAATGGAAAATGCCTTTTTTTCCCCTAAACGTCCCCGTGGTTGAGCCGTGTTAAACAGGGGCACGCGCTTCGCTGTTGTATTTTTATTATTATTATTATTTTCACATTTATATGACGCGGATTGAACTTGTGTTTTCTTTATTTTGTATTCCCTCCTATTCACCCCCCCCCCCTTTCCAATCTCCTGGTCAGGATGGGGTCATTGGGTGCTGTACAACTGGTCTGTGCTGTGGTACCGAGCTGGGGCTGTGTGAGTGACTGGGAGATGGCATTTATCTCCTTTGAAAAGTAATAATAAAAAACCAAACAAATGGTGTCTGCCAGAAACGAAGAGGCGAATAAGCAGGGTTTCCTACCGAATCTACGAGGGAGAAAACAGCTGTTTGGGATGGAGCGGACGTCCCCGATGAGCTGAGATTTATTGCACTCATAAAAATGCTCTGAAATGATGTGTTTAATTGCAGTCGCTGGGCCCTGTGAAGCTGTGGAAATTCGCAGCAATAGGGTGTGATTTCAAGAGAAAAGCAAATTTTCTGATTTAATAAGTTACTGAAGCAGCTTTATAAAGCGTATGATTTTGAGGAAAACGAGGGAATCTTTCTGTTCTGGAAGTATTAATCTCTCTAAATCTTTTTTTTTTTAATCTCTAAAACCCTTAACATGCCAAAATGAGGCTGACTGAGAAGTGGCATGGAGAGCTCAGTACCTCTCAAAGTATGATTTTTCCAGCATAAATTTCTTAGCTCTGAGACTGGAACAATCCAACAAAGCAAACGTGAGGATTCGCCGCTGTAAAATCTGTCAAGAGGTTGAGTTGATATTTATTTTTTTTTGTCAACACGGTTATTTTGATCCATGTTTGTACCTCTTTCCAGCCCTGACAGATTTAGCTGTGTCAGCAGTCATTTTTAGAGGAGGCCCTGACCTTGCTATTGCCTGCAGAAACGACTGCCTGAAGAAATGCCTGCTGCTTCCCTCAGACTTTTGTCTCCTGCCTGCTCCACCCTCCTTGGGACCTGAGAGTCCTTTTCAGCACAATTCTTCCTCCTCCTGTTTTAAATGCGAAGGCTGTGCTTCATTTTATCGCCCTGTTCTTGCAGTTAGGGGGCACCATTTACAATTCTGACCTGTCTGGTTCGATGTGGGAGGTGTAGGTTTTGGAAAACGTTCTTTAAGCTACTGAGAACTCCCTGTTTTTCCAAACTTTTGTCGTTAAATGTAGCTGCTGATCTAGATCACTGGTTTTGACAGAAGAGCTGCTGCATAATGCTGTAGAGCTGCAGTCAGCTCCTGGGTTGTTTTTTTATGCTGCTTGACAGGCTCTGTGTGGGCTTGGTGCTAAGGAGTTCTCTCTGACCTCAAATTTCTTGATAGACAATCTGTCAGCTCTGGAAATTCCAGGAGAGTGGAAGAAAGAGGATACAGTGTTGGTGTACGGTATCTTTTCATGCATGTATATGAGCATCTCGACTCTTTGCTACTCTGTCGGGTGCCTGAAAATTAGGGGTATGGTTTTGATTGGATTCTTATGAGTAATACCTTCTTTTCCAGTGGTTTGCCGCCGCCGCCACCACCACAACAGCAACAGATGCTGAGCTTACGGGCAACAAATCAACCATCCCTACTCAATGCCAATCCTATGCTTCAGCGGGCCTTACTCATGCAACAGATGCAAGGTACTGTCGTTATGGGAGACGCTTACTGCAGTTATTTAATCACTCTTCATGGGTTGAAACCACAGTATGGCTGTTTCTTCCTTAACCATTGCAGTGCTTGCATTTGGCATTTTTGTTTGTCATCTTTTTCCCCTTCAAATTTGTTCACATTACACATCGTGAATGTTCTTCACTTGATGAAAATCCCACGTGCCTTAATGTTCACAATTGAGAGTAGCACTAGAAGCTACCAGATCAATACAAAATATATACATTGGAAAATGATTTTCTCATAGAATTGGTGGAAAGAGTATTTTTCAGCAGTGTATTTAGAAAAATAGTTGGTTTTTTTTTTCCTAAATCTGCTTGTCTCACTTGGGGGACTTAATTTATTTCATTGACTGTTATGTATATGCTAAACTTGTTTGCAGAAGTAGGTGCTTGTCTTTGTCCAGGCTTAGTGGAGTGCAGACAAATACAGTACATTGTGGTGAGAAGTGATTTAGGTTTCAATTGTTGTGTGAAATTTTGATTCCCTGAAATGACTGTCATTTGTATGAAGTGTAGTATCACTATTTTTCCATCATTACGTTTCCACAAGTTGATTTTTTGGTACATTTTCAAGACAAATTTATGAAGCTGCCTTAATAATAGCATTGCTAACGTAAGGATATGAAAACATAGCTTTTTCCCTAATATCTTAAACTGATAGCTGTTTTCAATACAGAAGATCAGTACCTGGGACAGTTTTAAAGTGCCTATTTTAGATGAATGCCTTGAATTTTTGTTGGATGTATGAATTGTGCCCATATGTGTAGACAATAGATCTATTCTGCATATTGTTAACTTGCCTTTTGTTCTCTTGCCCATTTAGTAGAGGGCTCTCTAGTGACTCCAGTGGCTCTCTGTAGATCTTTGTCAGGTTGTAGGGAAACTCACAGTAATAAAAAACAAATCATACTCTGAATTTATATATCCAGATTGAAATGCATGTTTGTGGCAGAGGAAGAGAAGTCTGACGAGCCAGTCATTCTCCTTTCAGATACATTGGTGTTTGCATAGCCTGGCCTTTCCTCTAAAGCAAAATCTCTTATTGAGAAGTTGTGTTTAATTAGCATGCCAAAGACCTCAGGCAAATTAGATATGAAAACAGGAGAAGGTTTATTAATGAGCACTCGGCAGCTCTTTGATTTTGTGTTGTTCCTCTCTCTTTTCAGCTCTACATGCTGAGTTGAGTTCTGACTTCTCTTTCAGTGATTGCACCAGCTAGCTGTGGGTAATGTGTAGTACAGATGTGGTGTTCAGTGTGGCCCTTCTTAGGGATCTGATTTTTTTTTTTTTTTAGTCATTTTAGCTTTGGGTTACATGTAAGAATATCTGATGCTTTAGTAGTTCTGAACCTGGGAGACACTGGGATGAATAATTCATTGTATGTGGCTTCAGCAGTAGGAATAGGAAAAAATAAATACTTCAATTGAAATATATTTATAATTCTTTAAAGGAAGTAAAGCAAGAGCAGGAGATGACTTCTTGCCTTATAGGTTATTTTCTTTTTAAATACTGCTACGTGTTTTTACAGTAAGAGATCATTTATGCTAAGTAGTAAGAGATGAGATTAGTTCTGAAGACAAACATGAGGGAATACTTCCTGTTGTGTTCCAGGCTTTCAGCAGCGTAGCTTGACTTCAAATTTTGTGTGTCCATCTCCAAACTTCTCTGGCTTGTTTTAACAGCTGCTAAGCAGTCGGAGGATGCAGTCATTCAAGTGAGAAGTAAAAAATTGCAGTGTAAGTCCAGGTTCCCGGAATGGTGGTCAGAATCTGAGGGTGTAGCTGAGACATCTGTGCACTTCCATTCCCTCACCTCTGAAATGGGGTTAGTATGGACCAGCTTCGTTAGGAACTCTTGAGACTTAGTAGTCTGTGGATGCTGAGAAGAGCTGTTCAGAAAGCAGAGCATTATAATTGGAAATGGCAGCTTCTCAAGAGTCTGAGTTCAGGTTGACACATTGAGCTTGTACGATAACTGGATGGCAGAGAAGACTGTGAAATCTCCTGTTTGAAAATTCTGGTGTTGTTTTCAATGAAATGCTGTTGCTGGCCCGTGCTAAATAGCAGCCACGCCATGGTGTGAGCTGCCAGCTGCACAAACGTGGGATGAATTTTCGTTTATTACTGAGAAATTCTGTAAAACGATACCTTGCTTTGTTGCAAATGCAAATACTGGTGTGCTCAGATCAGATAATTGCTCTAATGATCTTAGCCTGCAGGGACAATTATAATTACATGGCTCAATATATAGTAATAGATGCTATCACAGCAACTCGTTCAATGGGGACTAAAAAGGGTAAAGTATAGAGCAGTCATACAGTACCTGGGGAAGGACACTGTCTTGTGTGGATGAGCCCTTCCCTTCTCCCTGCTGTGTGTATGGGGGTAAGATTTTCTCTCTCCTTTGCATGCTGATGTGCTGTGTTTGCATTTGTAGGAAACCTGCGTGGATTTAACATGACAGCCCCAGCACTGCAGCAGTTTTTCCCTCAGGCTACGAGGCATTCCCTCCTAGGGCCACCACCTGTTGGGGTCTCATTAAAGCCAACTCGTCTGGGCTTCCCCAACCTTCCCTTCCAGCGGCAGAACCGGATGTTTCGCAAGGTGGGCTCCAAGCTTCGCACCGTTTTGGAGCTCAGTGCTCCTTTTGCACTTAGAGCAGTTGATTGTATTGTAGATAAAGAACAAAGAGAAAGGAGAGAGCCTACAATGAAAAATGTTTGCACCACGCTGTTGGCAAAGAAATGGAGAAACAAGTCCATCCCTAAGGTTCTTGTTGTCTGTGTTTACATTTAGGATGCAAAGATTTCTTGTCTGTATCAGGACAAATAATTTGTCATAGCAGAACTGTTTAAACCTAAAAGAAAAGGAAACTTTAGAATTAATATCTTCCAAGTAATGACCATAAAAAAATGCTTTGCTCTTCAAAGGCCAGACTTTTTACCCATTTAGCTTTCCAGAGCTGTTTGTTGATCTCAAAAAACTTGCTACTATCATGGATATGTAACTCTGCCTTTTGGGGCTGCTTTTGATCCCTTTTTAAAGATAAGGGTCGTATCTGTTCATATGAATTTCATAAAATTTAATTTCAGAACAATTCTTAATGTTCTGGAGAATGTTTCAAAAACCAAACATTCTCCCCTTCCACTATTAAGACCCATTTTGTGTCCTGAAAATGGTTCTCAGATAAATTGATCAGTGTTCCCTCCTCTTAGATTAGCATTTGCATATCTCTTCCTGCTTTGTCAGAAAGATGTGCTGGATAAGGTAGACTTCCACACTTGGACTGTGCCTTCTGCTGAGACTCTCTGCCTGTTGCAGGACTTCCAGAGGGTCCCTGACAGGAAGCGGGAGCTAGATGCTGGTTCTTCATCTCACATGCATGGTGATGAGAAAATAGAATTTAGAGGGGAACTGCGAGCAGGGTCAGAGCAGAACAACTCCCTGTCCACAGGTAAGAGTGAGCCTATAGTGAAACGAATGCTTCTAGATTATAAACTCCTCTTGGTTGTTCCTGCAGCAAAGGCTGGAGACAGCTTTAGTCTTACCTTCTCTCTAACTGCAAATACCAAAATTAACTGTCACAGCCCTCTGCTTTTGGTGGTTTTAAAATACCCAGGTAAAAAGTATTTTTTTGGTGTTTATAAGCCTGCCCCATATCCCTTGCATGGAAGGCTCTCCAGAGGCACCCTGACAATGAGATTCTTTTAAGATGATGGAAGAAAAAAAAAAACTGGTTTGAAATTTAAGCTTTCGCATGGCCTTGACCATGCTGAACTGAATGTCTCACAGAGTCAAACACCTGAAACAGAACCAGTTGCAATCAACATGCTGAGGAAGAGTTGACTTAAGCGAGTACTCCAGTTGTCAGAATAGAAACTGGCACTGAATCTCGTAGAATATCCCCACTTCTGTGTTGTGATTGAAAAGTGCATAACCTAAAAACACAGGCACGTGGTGAGGTTGTGGTCACTGTGTATGTGGTGGGGAAGATAACCTGATGAGATGGTTGCTTTCTGATGGCCGTGTCACCTGGTTAATGTTCCATGGTCTGTGCTCTTGTCATCTTGGTATGGGACAAAGACTCATTTAGTAGACATAAGCATAGATTTCTTACTGAACCACACCTCTTACAATCACATCTGCAATAAAATTCAAATCTCCTAGGTCATTATTAATTTATTTTATTATTCAACCTTATCACTACAGTTCTCAAGTTCGGAATAAGCAAGTGTGTATTATTATTTGCTGTAAAATAGTTTTATAGGCATTGGCCATTCACTGGGACGTGCTTAGGGTGGCATGGTCTGCTTTGCTAAGGAGATCTTCTGTGTTCCTGCAGAACCAAGAACTCCGGCAGAATCTATGTTGAACACTGAGCCTGCAGCAAAAAGACTGAAGAGGTATTTATTGAATGTGGTATTGAAATAGTTACTGGCTTTAGCATTATTGTCTAATTTTATTTTCCTGCAATTAGGGCAGTACTGTACTGGCCTGATGTTTGGTATTTAGGAGGTATTTCAAAGGATCGTGAACGACTCAGGAAGTCTGGTGATGCTTACTGAGATATGTTTGTAGGGGTCTCTGTTGTAGGTGGCACAAGGATAGGAATGAAAAATAAAAGATACGTGTTAGGCAAGTGTGCAACAAAGTAATGCTTGCTCCTGTGTTCTCCTGCCAGGATTCTCCTAAGAAGCAGAGAGAGCTTTACTATTCTGAGCTATTTCTCTTAATTTTCTTGCCTAAGTGCAATAAAGGGAAATGAGCAGCCAGGTATCAGCAGAGAGGAAAAGCCTTGGGATGAGTTAGGTTATGACAGGAGTAAGAGAACATAGGTGGGTTTTTTTTTTTTTGAGGAATGGGAAGGGGAAGGGAATCTGTACTCCGTAGTATTGAAGCCTATATTCAGGAGTGTTGAGTTCTGCATCCCCTCTGCAAAGATTCTCTTGCCAGTACCCCTGTCTGTTGGGTAAAAATAAACAAAGGCAATCCTATTATCTGCAAGGCAAGCTGGTCATTGCAGGCCTGTCTTGGCAGTCCCTGCATTCCAGAGGGTGCAAGAAGTAGATAAGGCTGTATTGCCATCTAGTGGGAAGGCACGTAACAGAGCTCCTCACGCCATCTGTACAGTGCTGTACCTCTTCCAGAACTGTCACTATTGCAGGGGGAGAACAGGAAGGAGTGAATAAAGATTTCTGGAGGCACTGATTTGAGAATTCTCCAACATATGTTAATGACTATGAGTCAGGGCTCCTGGGTCCTCTGATCTTCCATGTTAACAATTCACCGCGTGGTTCTGGATGAGTTTCTTCACCTCTCTGGTTTCCCATCTGTAGATTAGAGATTAATGGTTAGCTTCAGGGAGAATATTCCAAGATCGTTTTGATGTTTCGATATTACTTTCATCGTGTAAAACATTAAAGAGTGATAAATATTATGTGAGCAGAGACCATTGTGAATTATGGACTATGAACTAGCAAGAAAGTGAATAAATTCAGTTTAGGCTAAGTCAGAGGCTTTTGAGCATGTTTTGTTAATCTGTTTGCTAAAGTTAATTTAATTTTAATGACATTAATATTTAGTAGGTATTTAGTAGGTATTAATCAACGTTCTGTTACACTGTCACATGCAATAAAAAAAGTATCAAGTCTGAGCAATGACAGATCTCACTGCAGCAAACCTGCTTCTGGGAACATCCTTTCCAAAGCAATAGCTGAGTGCCAGATTTGATTCATATCTTATGGCTGGTATTTAGTTGGAATATATGACTCCTTAGCTTTTTGGAAGTGTTTGTTTACTTTTTATGAACAGATGATGGATCTCTGAGAAAAATAGCTTACTGTTCTAATGTTGCCTTTCACAGATGAGGATAGCTCTCCCCCACTTCGTGCCACACTTTTATTTCTTGTTTCATCATTTCATTTTCCATTGGCCAGGAATACCAGCCTCCTCCTTCACTTCAGGTTTTTCCCACTTCTGCTTTTTCTCCTATGTGCCATCTGTATGCCTGGAACAGCATCCTCATTCCAGTGTGGAAAGCACTCATCTTCAAATCCTCCTTGAACACCCATTTCTTCTAGCACGGCCTGACAAGTATCCATATAACACCATTTCCTTCTTGGCTCCTGCTTGCGATGGCTTTTGCTCCCCTAGATTGCTCCCTAGACTTTCAGTTTAAGCTGCAAACCCTTGCCCTGGAGTGCTGGCACCATCTGTGTGTGGTATAGCATTGAGCCTGTTGGCAGTATTTGACAAATAATGTTAATGCCAGCCACTCTTGTTTTCTTCATGCTTGCACTGCCCAAACTCTGCTGCATATTTATAGCTTTGTAACCCAGTTACATTATCACTTATCAATCTGATAAATCATGTGATACTTGTGTATTTTGATCGCAGGATTCAGTACCTGCACAGTCTGGATTCTTGTCTGTGCAGAATTTGCTGCTCCCTGTTGGCAAAAGAATGCTGGCCGGTGGGATATTGGGCTGGCCTGAAAGAGAAGGCATTCAAACCATGGTGAAAGTATTACCTTATGGGAAAAAATAGAGGATAGAGAACGATGTTGTAAAATATGCTCTCTGCCCTCTGCAAGTCAGCTTATTTTTTTTCTCAGCGATCTCCTCAGGCTCTTTTTTCTCCTTAGCAGATCAATAGCACCAAAGCAAACAAAGCAAAATCGTTTGATATATGTTTCATAGGGCTCCACTCCCCCAAAAGCAGTGCAGCAGGGACTCTGGAATTAAACACTATTGAAACAAATAGAGCAGGCAGTTATGATGAAATCCCTGTGAAATATAATTGAGAAACTGTTCAGTTCTAACAGGTCTCTGTCCCCTCATGCACATAGCAACCTGGAGTGATGTCCAGATACTGCAGCTTCCCTGCAGGTCGCCAATCAGGAAAGGAATGAGCTCTCAGAGCTCTTGCTAAGAATATTTCCTGTATGAGCTTATTTCCCTGCAGGCCTCATGCAGAAGAGGGCAGTGATTCAGAGAATCAGTTCTAACTTTCTTGTCCAGATTATTTGGCTACTGCTTCTGAATCTGTTCTAGAATGCCATTCTCCATTGTTTTCATTCATTTCTGCTGAATCTCTGCCTGCAATACACATCCAGTGGCTTTCTGATTTGGGGGATTTAGTGGAGAGTGTGATAGCCTAGATTCCAGCCTATGCCTTTGTCTTCTGAATCTCTTGGTCTATAACACTGCAAATAAGGTTGTTTTCTTGATATCTTTTAAGTGTGACTGAAGAGTCTGCATTAGAGAATGCAGCAGGCAGCAAGGAAGAGTTGAGCACCCATGTCCAAGCTGATGGTGAGTTCCTGGGCACCATGATTTGTATTTTTAGGACGCTCCCTGCCTGAGCTGCATTTAACATTCAGCATCTCTAGATCCTGTGAGTCTTCAGAAATGTCCTCCCCCACATAAAGGGTGGGGAAAGGAGGAGAAGATGTAGGAACCAAATCCAAACATAGTCCCCTAAAAGCTGTTGCTGTTGCCTAGCAAATGCAAATGATGAGAAGAGTTTCCCCTTTAACAGAGCTTATTTGGAAACAGGTTTGTAAGCTGGGCTTATGGCCAACAGCATTGTGAGGAAAGCTCCCTGACTTCATTCACCTGCTGCTTTGTTTTTTGTTTTTTTTCTCATTGCTATTTTGATTTAAGGCAGCTGAAATGACTCTCTGTCCCTAGGTACAAATAATGTAAAGCAGTACGCAGCTGAAAGTCTCTCTAAAGAGAGGAAATTCTCTGAGGAACCAAAGGCTCCTGAGGTGAGTAGATGCTGTTCCATGCAGGCTGGGGTGGTACAGAACATAAAACCTCCCACTCCATCCCAGAGATGCCCGTTGCCACTGGGAACCAGATGGCACCCACGTCTGGAGCTCCGTCTCCTGCTGTAAGCTGTTGTCCCTAGCAATAAGGCATAATATGTCTGCAATTATTGTGCAGTCTGCTCTGACTTGCTGCTTCTGTGCCTCTGCTAGCCTGTACCTCACCTACTGCTGCCTGTTTGTGAATGCTGGGGTCTGCTAAGAGTTCAGAACTCAGGCGGAAAGATGGAAAGATGAATTGAAAGAACCATTAACAAATATCTGTATTAAAGGGACATAGCTAAAAATACACCTTTTGTTGCTGAAGAGTAGATGTAAAAAAAAATGGGGTGATGGTAGTAGACGTGCAGCTGCTATGAAACTTGCCATTGCATGTCTAAAATGCAAGTATTTATTTTTAGTGTCTTCTACTTACACTTTTGACTTAATCTTGACTCCTTCTTCTGGCAGGTGTTGAGCTCTGGAGGTTCACTGAAAGTGACTATCCAGCAGAGCAGCGAGAGCAGAGCTATCAGTACAACAGCTCTGAAACCAGGGCAGTGGACGTGCGAGATGGGCACAGCTGATTCCAACCCTGAATCAGCCCTTAAATTCTACTGTTACATCTGCAAGACCAACTGCTGCAATCAGCAGGTATAAATCCACAGGTCTGACTGGGATGGATGGTCAAGAGAAGTGAATTGGATGGCCAGCTGCCATGGGGAGGTGCATCACGAGACTTGCTAGCCAGAGAAGCATAAAAAAAAAATAATGACAAGCATGCAGATAAAGCAAACCCTTTCTGAGGAGCTGGCAAGCAACCTGCTAGAGAACAAGTGTGGGTGGATCCCCAGGCAGCCGTGGTCTTAAGCTTTTATACCATTTCATTGTTATACAGCATTTAAGAGAATGGAAAGTGTAGCTCATGCCTATTATTATTCTGTATTTTGAATATTTTTAAATGGATCTTTCTCTTAACCTTTTCTTAGAATTTCCAAACCCACATGGCTGGGATTCAGCACCAGCAGCGACTTGGGGAGATTCAGCACATGAGTAATGTTTGTTTTGTTTCACTACTACCTATGGTGAAGGAGCAGAAGTTGCTGGCGGAGAAAGATGGGTGAGTGTTGGTCTGAGGTAGCAAACACAATCTCAGCAGGGATCTACATGAGTTCCAAAATTCCTCAGTGCACCAAGGTGCCCCTGCGCTCCAGGATAATGTACAAAATCCTTCTTGTTTCTGAGGCCTTAGGCTGCTTCTGGCATCTTCCTTCCTGATAAAGGATAGTATTGTGAACTTTGACCTGGTGTGTAGTTCTTAATCCAGTAGATCAAACTGGAGAGTTGTTTTAACTGGTGCCTTTCTGTCAGCATGAGCTGTATTCACTACGTAAGGGGCTGGAAAATGAAAAAGATAAATCCAAGCAAGTAAAGTTAGTGATACTGAGGAAAATAATGCTGAAACAAATTGCACATTGCAGTGTTCCATGGGGAATGTAAAAAGTTATGACTTACAGATGTTTCTGCTGTCACTTCAGAGAGACCCAGCAGCGGTGGTGTAACACGTGTCAGATACACTTCACAGGGGATCTGATCAAACATCGCAGGACCCAAGAACACAAGGTAATAACCATAGCACAGATTTCTCCTTTGCACTGACCTTTTGTGGGGGTTGAGTTTGTATCTAGCATCTCCTACTCCCCAAGCAAGAGAAAGGTGATTGGAGAGATGCATGAAGTTGTGCTGGTTGCACTCTCACGAGGGCACTGTCATGCTGCCTACTGCATTTGATCACTGGTATAAGGCTGAAATTCCAGCTGTCAGTATGGCCTGAAGCAACTCTGGTTTAATTCTCAACTTTCTAAATAAGCATGGTCTACTGTATTTACCTAACCAATGGAATGGAGGAATTGGTTGGCAGCCTTTACGCTTTTGAGGTAAAGTTTAGGCAGGTCACTGTATTTACTGTGTGTGTATTTCGTTGCTAGGGAAAAACTGCTAGTAAACCTTTTATAAAACACATTTTTGTCATGCACTTTTTTTTGTGCATGACATGCACACATGCACACATGCATGTGCACTTTCAAAAAAGTGATTTTCCATCCCTTTCACAGGTAGGAACTAGTGATCCCTTTCTCTTGCAAATAAGACACTTTTTTTGTGGTTTGCCTGTTTTAGACACAGGGCTGTAACTGTTTTACCGAAGTTGAAGCTGTATTTCTTTAGAGTGGTGCCTTTTGTGACTGACTGGTCTTCTCCTCTCTCTTTAGCTGGCCAAACGCTCACTTCGTCCTTTCTGCACTGTCTGCAGCCGCCATTTCAAGACCCCTCGCAAGTTTGTGGAGCATATGAAGTCCCCTGAGCATAAACAGAAAGCCAAAGAGGTAATGCTGCCAGAGTAGAGAGCCACCCAGCACTGGAGGCAGCTACACTGCAGATTTCATTAGCTTTCAGCTTCCTTGACTTCTGCAGGGATAAAGGGAAGGCATGCAGTTCTTCAAACCTTGTTTTAAGAGAAATTGTGTGAAAAAGGGAGAGGAAGTGGATGTGTCTGCAAGCAAGATAGCTTTGTGCCCCTCTTGCAGTTCCATCTACTGCAAGACGTGGTCTGTTCAGAGCCTGGGGCCTTCTGTGTTTAGATGGAGAGTGCAGAATTGATCTTTCTTTTCTGTACCCGTCAGGTGAGACTGGGAGAGAAGGAATTGGGCAGCCCAGAAGATTCAGAGGAGTTGATCACAGTGGATGCTGTTGGCTGTTTTGAAGATGATGAAGAGGAGGAAGAGGAGGAGGAAGAAGAGGAGGGAACTGGTGAGGGGGAAGACCTTGATGTAGTGCTGGTAGAGAATGAGGATTCTGCTGCCAAGCAGGTATGCCATGCAAATGAGGACTGATCTATCTGAGAATCCGCTGTGGGTTTGTGTGACTTTGGTTGTTCTTGTCTGCTTGAGCTCAGGGTTTAGAGTCTAGTGCCACGCTGCAGCAGGAGGGTGAGGGCCCTGGAATTCTTCTAGAGCGCAATACAGCACAAAAGAGAATCAAACACTGTGTGTGGATGCAGAATCACAGAATGGCCAGGGTTGGAAGGGACCTCAAGGATCATGATCTCCAACCCTTCTGCCACATGCAGGGCCACCAACCCCCTCATTTAATGCTAGACCAGGCTGCCCAGAGCCCCATCCAATCTGGCCTTGAACACCTCCAGGGATGGACAGGGCATCCACAGCCTCTCTGGGCAGCTGTTCCAGTACCTCACCACTCTCTCTGTAAAGAATTTCCCCCTCATGTCCAACCTAAATCTCCCCTCCCTCAACTTAAAACCATTTCCCCTCGTCCTGCAGTTATCTCCCTTTCAAAGAGTTGATTCCCCTCCCAGAGGGAAGAAGGGTATTTCTACTGTGCTACAGCTCCTACTGGTATCTTCAAACATTACCTTGTTGTGAGGAACATAAGCAGTGTTTTTGTCAAGGGAACAAATTTCTTATCAAAGACATTGACATAGTCTCTTTGAATAGCCCAGCAGCAGCTTGGTCTCATGGCAAATGTGTAGAGATTTATCTCAATACATACAATTTTCCCAGTAAAGAGCTGTTACCAAGAGGAGGTAGACAGCCGAACTGCTTCAGGCTCAGAATGTAAGAGATGCTTTTAACCCTTGTCATGAAGTGGCCTCTGACATGGGGTATCTGGCACTAGCCAGATGTCATGCAACTCTGTCTCTGGTATACGAGTCCTCTGTTTTGCTTCAAAGTTTACCAGAAAAAGGGAAGGGAATTGACATAGATATGCTAGGCACTAATGTTCTTTTGGTTTCCAGAGTGGGCTGAAGGAAGTGTCTTTGGAGGATTACAAAGGAAGTGAGAAGTATTGCCCAGATACAGCCTATGGTAAGCAAACACAGAAGCACTAAGGCCCACAGAACTTTCTCCGGCTGTGTGCCATAAGAGAGGATGGTCTCTGTCAGCTGCTGTTACAAATTCTTTGGCTATATTGCTTCAGCATCTGCATCAGACTGTTGCAGGTCACTGCTGTGTGGAGAAGGGGCCAGGTTGTTCTCTAAGCCAATGATAAGGGATGTGATGGATGTTTGTCAGCTGCCTTTGTCTTTGAGGAAGAAATGGCGAGAGCCAGATATGTTACCAAGGCAAGAAACAGAGCAAATGGGATAGGAGTACTGAAGAAACTAGGTAGAAAATGAGGGATGCTCTGGAAAAATGGAGCCTAAAAACTTATTGATGAGAACACTTTCCAGCAGAAATGCAGCTTACATGGAAATACTGAACAGTACTGATGGCATCAAGCTCTCTGCCAGAGCCCAAACTGTGCATGTTTCCTCTGCTTCAAAACCCCCACATTCTACTTAGTGGTTATTCAGACACGTTTCTGGACTGGTGGGCAGTGTTGCCTCCAGATGGCTCCCTCTTGTCCCCACCTTGTAAGTGATTCTGACTTCAGATGTCTAACGGCCACTTGTATTGTGCAGAGGGCAGCTCTGCAGAGGCTGTTCTGTGCCCAAGGAGAGTGCTGTTTACACCAATCTTCCATATCGCTGTAACCTTCCACTATCGTGTGGCAGATGGAATAATGATTCATGCTGTGAATGTTCTCTGCGTGTTCCTCTTGCGCGCCTGCTGTCTTCTGCTTGGTTTGATCCCATTACATTAGATCACATGTCCTCTGTAGTTTTCCATTGTATTCCTTTCTTTTTTTTTCCCCTTAATGCTATATGTAGTTTCTTTGCTCTGGCAGCCAGATTTCTCTCTGAATATCAAGCGCACAGCCATTCCATGGTAAGACAAGATATTCAGCAAGTCATCTTGCAAACCCCTCATTAACAGAAGCAAAGCTTTCCAATTTCCTTCCTTCTTTCCTCCTTCCCTGGTTTAACTTCCCTTTTAACATACTTTCGTTATTTTGAGTTCCATTCAATGTGATCTGTGATTTCCCTTCCCCTCCCGTTTCACAGGCCTGGATTTTCTGGTCCCCGTCGCAGGTTACCTCTGCAGGCTGTGTCACAAATTCTACCATAGCGACTCTGCTGCCCGGCTCGCACACTGCAAGTCCCTGATGCATTTTGAGAACTTTCAGGTTAGACCCTTTGGCGATTGCATGGCCTGGCATTTGTTACTACCCCTGTGCGTGTCTCTTCAGTGAATCCGCCACGTTAGTTGTCTTGTCTTCAGTTCATTTCCATCACCCTTGGTGTCCGTTGTGTCACAGCTTTCTCCTGATGTGCTCCGTGCTTGTCTCCCATCACACCTTTAGATCCAAAACCAGTCCAGTCCTGCTTCCCAGCTACTGCTACTGTCATCTTGTTGCCCGTTTCTGGTTGGAAGTCTTCCTCAGAGTGTCTGATCTGTTTGCTGAGCCTGTAGAGTCTGTTGTTTAGTCTAAGCCTCTTCTTTTCTTTGTTAGACAGATTGCAGGTGGGTCAAAATGGGGAAAGACCAAAACGGAAAGAAGCTATTCTTTTTAAAGAGAGCTGATGCTTATGCATCTTTCCATGCAGTACAACAGTGAGCGCAGGAACAGCTCCTTTAGGCAACGTTTCAGGTGTGATCCATCCATGAAGGAGCCTGGTAAAATCAGATATTCACCTTAGAAATCTGGAAATGTAACAGCACAGTGCTCTGATACATGGAAACTACAAGCTGAAAAAGTCCATTTGTCCCCAGGGTCAGCCTGCAACATGAAGTCAGTCATTCTGTCTGCAGTACTTTCCTAGAAACTCCTTAGCATAAATCTCTGCCAGCTGATGCTGTTCTTTTGCTTTACTGGTTTCACCTGAAGTAGCAGCATTGCTCCTTGTTGCTTCATATTTAGAAACTTTCCCTGCTAGGCTGTCTTGGAATTTGCCTCCATTGTTCTGTCCTTGTTGGCTTGCTAGGGGTGAGGTGCCTGGATTAGTACCTTGAGGTGGGTGTGCAGAGTTTGCACTGGCTCTGCCCTCTCCTTTGCCTACCACTGCCCATGTAGGAGAGCAGTACTCCTTCACCCTGGAAAGAGGGGAGGATCCCATGCTGACTTTGTTACCTGCCAGCACACAAAACATGTTTCCTGAGCACAGATCCAGTCATTGTTGCATTTTAAGAGTCTTCCTGCTAGTCTTTCAGACAGGTTAACTGTTCCCAGTCAACCACTGTGTCCTTCAGCAAGGATTGGGGTTGCTGCAGAAGCCAGCACTTAGGAGCTGTGGATTGGGAATGGCAAATAGCAGGAGAAGCAGCTGTTCTTTGAGGGTTGCTCATCCTCTCCTGCAGCTCGTCATTTCTGGAATGAAGGAATTGGCCTTGCAGCTTCCCTTGCTTATTTTAGATCAGCATGGAGTGAAACTGCAGCAGCAGTGTGTATATCTTCTTTCTGGCCCATTTAAAAGCTGAAATCAGATACTCTTCAAATGGACACTGGAGTGACTTACAGGAATTATTTGTGGCAGAAGTCCAACCTTAAATATCTGCAGGCTAACATCTATTCTGCTTGGTTGTGTCACAATCAGAGTGAAATCATTTCCAATTTCAGAGTATTCTCATCAGAATAGACTCACAGAGGATTTCAGAGCAGAGAATTGTCTGCTGGTGAGGCAGTTCACAGCTTCACTGTGAAAACAAACTAGCACACTTGTGCCTGGTTAAATTTGGGTACACTGTTATTACTTGACTCACTGACTTTGCTCCAGTGCGTTACAACATTACACATATCCCAGTATTTGAGAATGGGGAAAGAACAAGCCTGTGATGATGTACTAAAGTCAAATGTAAAGCTGTCTGTCTGGTGTGCTCTAATTCCACACTGCAGACTGCAGTAGCACTGCTTAGACAGTGGTGAAAGCCAGTGTGCTGCAGATAATTCTGTCATTGTGAAGTCTAATGCTAGTGCCAGTCCAAGGCACCTTTTGGCAGAAGGATGAAAGGGAGTTGATGGTAAAGAGAATGGCTGCGGAAAGGAGCTTTGTGTCATTTTCTTACTTCATACTGCATCTGGGTCTTCAAAGAGCAGATTCCTGCTGCATGTTAGCTAAGTAGCATCACTGTTTTTCTGAAATCCAGTCTTGAAAAAATGGCTAGTAGCCATTTTAATTTCCTTACAGACCTCTACTGGTTTATCACGGTAGCTCATGTAAATGAGTCATTTTATTGAATGTGTGCTCACCTTTATTCTGGAGATAACCTCAGTACCTTTTAAGATGAGGATACTTGAGATCTCTAGTATTCTTGCCAGCAGCTTTGCACGGATTGTATCAGCAGAATGAAAAAGCTTAAGCTTTCAATTTAAGCCTTGCTGTGGCTGTTAAACATTAAACCACTCCTCTCTAGGTAAGGGCAGGGCATAGCCTTGTGTATCCAGAGTGCATGTCCAGTGTTAGGTCCTGGCAGCAGCTGGAGCAAGAGCTGTCACTTGTGCTGTTGTATCTACAAAGTCCTGAATCTGACTGAGATCAACAGTTACCAGACATGATTTTTGTCTCAGGAGCCACAGGTGCGCCATGCACTCACTCAGCACTAAGTAATTACATTTTTAATATCACTGCTTTTTCTCACAGGAGCTGGCCTTTCCCTGCTTGAAAGCCTCTGCAGCCAGGCCAGGAGACCGGCTCAGTCAGGTTGTGCTCTTGCAGAGTCTAGCTGTCACTCACCATTATTTTTGTACAGGTTTTCCTGGACCAGCTGCTGCTCGCTGCAGTGCCAGTATCTGGCTGGACTTGTGTCTCACAGTGGTTTGTTTGTGTTTGCAGAGATACAAGGTAGCAAGGCATCGTGCCACAGCTGCCTATCCGGAGGCTGCCTTGCATTCCCAGGGCTCCAGCTCCCAATTGCTAGATGATCAGAAACAGCCTCCTGCTACAACAGAAGATACCAGCAAGAAGATGAATGCCAATCATGGGATAGACAAGGAGGGTACAGAGCTGTCAGCACTGCAAGAACAAGCTTTGAGGTCTCCAGAGGGTAAGGGCAAGCTGGCCACCTCTGTAGCAGAAAGCAAAAGCCTAGCCAGCATGACTGATGTGTGTGGAATCATGGTTGTAGAAGAAAGCCTACAGGAGAGTGAATCCACTGCCACTTGCCCGCTCCCCGAAGAGAGCAGCGCCGCAGGGGAGTTGCTGGGACATGCTGTGTGTGAGGAGGAGGAAGCCAATGCAGCCAGGCAAGGGGAAGGCACAGACCACTGCCAGGATCCAGGGAGCGGAGGGGGGTTGGGACAGAAGGAAGCATCAAACATAAGCCAGGAGGCAGCAGCAGAGCCCTCCTCCCTAGCCAAAGGTGAGACTGCCAGTCTTACCTCTGCTGGGTGCAGACGCTCTTCCAGGCGCAAACCCAGATAGAGTGGCCTTAAAGGGAGAGCCCTTTACACACCATATTTGCTGGAAATGTTTATTTTCGGAGTCTTTTAATAGAGCAAAAACCTTCAACTTTACTGCTGTTTTTATTTTAAGAATAAAATAAGCCTGGCTTTAGCGTGTCTAATATGGGATGGTGTTGATTATTACTTGTATAGTTTGGATACTGAAATCATGCTTTGATTGTTGAACTTGAAAGAAGAATGTAATGTGATTATTTTTCTTTTTCATAGGGGATATGGTTCATGAAGTAGATGGATGCAGACATTTTTTCTCATTTTCTTCCACTAAGAATACCACGTAGTTCCCCTCTGCTTCCTTCTAAGGCAGAAAAGTTTATTTCTTGGGAGACTGTGCCCAATTCTGCTCTTCAGAATGGTTTTCTTTCAAAGATGCACACTCTCGGACCACCACTGTGTCCTAAGCTAGGCAGAATGTGCATCTTGATCATTTGTTAATACTATAAGGCTTAATACAGTCTGTTCTCATAGTGGATACTCTCAGGAACAAATTTTGTTTCAAATGATTTTAATAAAACAGATTTCTTATAACTTCTTCAACTTTCAAAAAAACTCCTTTAACTCTACAGAAGTAGAATAGTTCAGACTTGCCTCACAGTGGTGGCACCAGGCCATCCTGACAAGTTCACAAAGTTTCAAACCAGAATACTCATGATTGCTCCTGTTAAAATATACAGGGAGGGCTCTGCTCTCATCCCATGGCAGGCAGAGCACCATACCACCAGTTCAGTGGGGCAAACCAGGCTGCTCTGCCTCTCTAAGCCTGAGTCCTTAATGGCAGCTCAAGGAGTTAGGCAGCTTCTGATTCTAAGTCAAAATCATCACCTTGGTAGCTCATCTTATCTGCCTGGAAGGGAACAGGAAACTCCAGTGATTTGGGACTACCTGTCAGTACTTACAGTGAATGTGAATAATGGGGAAGCTGTAGTTTCAAGTCAGCAGATCATCTATGGCCCCCCTCCTCCAAGTCTGTACCAGAGCTGCCAGAGAAAGCCCGGAGTCAGGACAACCCCTGCCTAGTGTGCTTTGTGAGGGAAGGGGCTAGAGCTATAGCATTCCTCAGCTGGAGTCAGCAGTACAAAACACCATGATCATTTTTCTACTTTGTGAAGAGAGCTTCCTTGCAAACAACCTGCACAGCCTCAGGCTTTCTGCAGCCAGCTTCAACCACGTTACATGGCCATGCTTGCGTTAATGCTGGAAGCAAAAAGAGCCAAGTCTCCTACACCCATTTGTGTGCACCCATCACACAGCTAAGGAAAACAGAACATGGAGGTGAATGGCTGGGCACTACCACAGGAAGGATTACGTAATGGGCAGAAGGTAACTCTTCAATTTTTGATAAACCAGTAATTGTTCCCTTAGCAATTAAGTTTGGGACCAGTGCACTAGACAGGAGGCTGTGGTCCCTTCATGTCAGCTCCCATGCTGTGCTGCTCGCTCTGCTGCTGGAACTCCAGGCGGGTCTGGCGGTTTGACTCCAGCAGTTCCTTCAGGCAGGCATGGAGGTGATCGTTCTTCTCTTCCAGATGATCCAAGCAGGAGCTGATCTGGTCCAGCATGGAGTTTATTGCTGCATATTCTAAAAGCGAGAGAAATAAGAGGTTGTTTAAGGCAAGTATGTTGTCACTGCAGTCAGTGAATGCTCTTGCAGAACATGCCCACAGCATTTTGGCTGTCTCTTACCTGCCACCATGTGGGTGAAGTAAAACGCAACGGAATGCTGCAGGTATTGAATTCACTTGTCAAGTGAGACCAATGGGAAGCTGGAGAACTGGTAACAAGATCTAAGGCAAGTTACCTGGGGACAACACACTCATTTTGGGCAGCCTGAAAGCCTTTGATCTCATATGTAAATAGCTGACCATGGGCTGATTAGCAGCATGCAGTGATGCACGTATCAACAGGACCAAATCCCAAGGGCAAGTCAGCGGTTAGAGCTGCCTTAGGGATCAACATTCCCGATGAGGATGCAGGCATTCTAGCAGTATGTCCAAGCATTTACATTCTGTGAATTACATGTTTAAGGCTCCCAGGCTGAGATGTGACTCACGAATGCCTTCCTGGGTTCAGACTGCCAATGCAGCACAGCCGTTGCTGTGCCCACACCGTTTCCAAGGGAGGTGTGAAGCACTGAGCCCAACTACAGTGTTTTTGTGCACCATTAAGACTTTGGGTAATGTGAGTTAAAACCAAACTCATTCAAAACAATCCTGATAGCTGTTTTCCTAGCTGATGTTTTATTTAAAGAATCTGTTTCAAGTCTTAGCTTCACTGCAGTGGCGTTTCACAGTCATGTGGATCAGCACTGCTAATCCCTGTGATGTATTAGGGCTCAGGCAGAGCAGTGCTGTGCTCCTTCCTGAAGTGGGACGGGCTGGCAGAGTGCAGGGAGGCAGGGACCCGAGGGGCTGAACCCGGGGAAGATGGTGGGCAGGGACTGGGAGGTAGAGCTGCGTGCTGGCTCTTCCCTCTGAGAGCACCGAGCCAGGCACAGTGCGGTGCTGAGGGATGAGGAGGAGGTGCTCGCTTCACTCCTATGGGTGATGCTGGGGCTGCACCAAAATCGCTCAGCCCAACTTTGCCCCACTCGGTTGCTACCCTGGTGTATTTGTATGGAAGTTTAACCAAGAGATACTGGCTGCGAGCACAGCAATCACGTCGCTTACTCCTCTGACGAGAAAGGTGGCAAGAAATAGGGTTTCCTATTTGAGGTCAGGGAAAGCGATCCACGGCCTCAGCTCAGCTCACCCAAGAAATGCCCACAGCTCCAGCAGGCAGCCCCAGCTAACTGCAGAACAGACAACAGCTTCATGGAGACCCACAGCACAGATCACCGCGGGGCGACTCTGAGCAGCGACCGCAGCCTCGAGGTTCAGCTGCGCGGGGCCGAGTTTGGCCCCGAGCGAGCCCAAGGCCCGTCCTTCCCCGGGCCTCCTACGACAGCCCCGCCCCGCCGGGGGAACCGCAGCGGACCCGTCGACACGGGGGTTCCGGTGAGCGCGGAGGGCCGCGCTGCCCGCACGCACCTTCCTCCCCGAAGCCGTCCCCGTCCTCGTCGCCGCCGTCCCGCCCGGCGGGGCCCAGCGCCACGTGCGGATCGCCGTTCGGCCCCGACATCGCCGCCGCCGCCCTGCCGAGCGCCGGGCTGCCGGGGGGCGGGGCGTCCGGGGGCGCCGCTGGCCAATGGGGTGACGCGGTGCAGCGCGCGCGTCACGTGAAGCCGGGCGGGAGGCTGCGTGTAAAGTCTGTGGTTATCGGGCAGGGGGCGCGGCGCGGCGCGGGAGGGCGGGAACTGCCGTCTATCAGCCGCGAGGGGCCCTGTGACGCCCCGCAGTTCTGGGGTCGCAGCTCCGCCTTTGCTGTCGGGCTCCGGGCCGTAGCTGAGCACCGTGGCGCCGGTTCTGCGCAGTCTGAGGCGGTTCGCACCGCCCTGGGGTCACCTTCACGTTTCTGCCGCAAAGGACGAAGGCAGCGCGCTGCCTCTCCTCGTCCTTTTCCGCTCACAGCCGTCCGTCACCCGCCGTGCGGGAACCCAGGCGCCCGAGAGCCGTTCCGTGACTGAGGGACGCGACCGGGACAGAAATAAGCTGCGTTAGGCGGCTCAAAGCTCTGCGGTTTCACACCGCAGGAGGCCCCCTTCCTTTCTTTCTGACTGAAGCGCTGCCGCCAGCGAGCCGAGCCGACCCGTGACGGTGCGGCACCGACCGCCAGCGCCCCTCAGTGCGGCCGCCATTTTGGGGCGTGGAGCCGCAGAGGCCGCCCCGCCCCGCCCGTCTGCGCCCCCCGCCCCCGTGCCCGCAAGATGGCGGCTGCCGGCAGGGCCTGGCGGCTCGCAGCGCTGCTGCCGCCTTGGCGGCTGCGGGCCCCGTGCCGTTCCTTGTGCGGCGCGGCGCGGGGCGCTGCCGGCGGCGGCCGCTTGCTGCTGGGCGCTGCCTTCGCGCTGGGCGGCGGTGCCGGTCTGTGCCTGGCGGCGCGGCAGCGCCTGAGGGAGCACTCGGCCGCCGAGGTAACGCGGCGCCGGGCCCGGCGGCGGGAGGGACGGCGGGGAGGCGCGGGGCGGCGGGCATTTCGTCTCCGTGAGGCGCGGGCCGCCGGTGGCCCGCTTTGGATCGGGAAACGGCTTAAAATGAGGTGAAGGAAAGCCCGGCCGCGTTTCCCCGGAGGAGCTGTGAGAAACGCCCGTCAGAAGGCCGGGGCTCGCCGCGTTCCCAGCGCCCGCTGAGGGCCGCGCGGCCAAACGCGCCGCAAATGAGAAACGAGCCGAGCGGCCCGCGTTGTGTTACGACGTGTTACCGAGCGCTGCGCGTGTCGGGCTGCTGGAGCCGGCAGGGAGCGGCCGTGGGGCGGGGCTTCGTGTCTGCGCCGCCCCGGTGCCTCCGTCGGTAAACGCCGGGGGTCTGGGTGCGGGCCGCTGTGTCTGAGGGCTTCGTGTCGGCTCTGAGCCTCTGCCGTCGGCGCAGCGCTGCTTCACCGCACCGCAACAAACGGCAAAGCCTCTTCCCTGCCCCCAGGGCTCCACAGAGGTTGTAGAACACCGGACTGTGTGTAGAAGAGTCTGCTGCTGGATCTCGCTGCTTTGTTTTGGCTGTGAATAGGAATAGGAGTTTCCAACAGGTTGAGCGGATGCTGAGGAAAAGAACAGTTGGTCCTGTGAGGTGAATGTTAGTGATGTTGTTTAAAGAAAGCCTTTTTGAACTGAGATACACTGATTGTCAGGTGTTGCAACTCAGTGACTATGAGTTTATAACAAAAATAAGGGTGAGATAAAGATAACGTTTATACTTCTTAATAGAAAACAAAAGCTTTTGGTCTTTTTTTCTTCCCCAGCAGCCTGCAGGGAACCTGCAGCTTACCCTCTACCAATATAAAACCTGTCCTTTCTGCAGTAAAGTCCGAGCTTTTCTGGATTATCATGGGCTGCCCTATGAAATTGTGGAAGTAAACCCGATAATGAGGAAAGAGATCAAATTCTCTTCCTACAGGAAGGTGCCCATCCTGCTAGCTGATGCTGGAAGCCCTCTGGTAAGTTACTGTGGGGAACTTTGATAGGGAAATTTGTATCTCTGGCTTTTCACGCATTGTGTAATCTTATATTGTGTCCTTTTAAGGCTAAGATTTGTTCCTTGTGTTGTAGCCTCTGCCATGGCCGTGTGAGAGGTGTTTTCAGTCTTTCTTCCTAAACGTGTTGTTTTATGTAGTGACTCTGTAGTCCAGTGATTATCTGGCTTCTCTTAGCTCTTATGCAGGACGCACGTTTCATGTCAGAGATAAAAAGGTCTGCTTACATTTTATGGAAAGAGATCGCTCACGAGTCAACTCTGTGGCTTTTTAGTATCAGTGTTGCTTTTTCTGCTTTGTTGCTGCAAAGTGCTTAAATCCAAAACCTAATGGTATTGCCTGTGGACCTGTCCCTCAAGTCCTCTGAATGGAAGATAGATTTGAAATGTGTATGGGAACTGATGAGTCAGGGCTTGAACGACTGATTGAGCACCTGGGGAAAGGAGCCTGTCAGTCCTGAGAGCACAGCTGAAGGCAGTTCAGCTGTGTGACCAGAAGGGGTGGAGCCTGGCTGCACCTCTCTTAGACCTCATTTAAAGGCTGACTGCCACAGGGAGGGATTTCTTTCTGAAAGTCTCTCTTTGGCGAAGCTTTCCCCTGTGAACCTAGAATCTTCTGATACGGGTGAGCAATCTTCTTCCCTTCCTTTATAATGCTTTTCTATTGTGCTGGTCCTTCTGTTGTTACACCTTTGTTATAATTCCTTTCCTATTATATTGATTTGTCCATATGCTGTAAAATGATACTCTAAGGTGCTTGCAGAAGAAATCTGCGTGTAGGGCTGCCTGTGGAAGTTCATGAGGAAAAAAGGGACTGCAGCACTAATTTGGAAGTCTCAGCATGCAGGGGGAATGATTAAGAAATTCTTTTTTAGTATCACCAATTTCTGAAAGTTTGTTTTAATTCTGTTTTTCAGCAATTGAATGACTCTTCGGTGATCATCAGTGCAATAAAGACCTATCTCATTTCCAAGTAAGAAAACAAAACAATGGAAGAAGAGTTGAATATGACTGGTGTTGTGAATCTCACCTGTGAGATTTTCTTTGCATAAAAACTGCTTAAGCATGTGTTAGGGTTAGTCCTGGAACTAAGCTTACATTTAGTCATAATGTCCAGAGTGAAATCAAATTTCTGTAGCTGTGGTCTGTCCTTTGGATCCACTTGAGAAATGTAGGAAGTTTTATGCCTGCAAAAACATCCTGTCTGACACGGGGAAATAAGATACATTAATAATTTGAGTGCAGCTGTTCCAAAGTTTTTTCAAAACTTATCTCATATAGAATTTGGATCCACGTGCACTTAATGTTTTAAGTATGTGTCTGTCTGTATGTTCTTTGCTCTTGCCCAATTTTGTAGCAGTCTGATCAGGTGCTAACTGTATCACTGTCCACAGGAGGAATAGCCTAGAAGAAATTGTGTCCTTTTATCCCCCCATGAAAACCGTGACTGAGCAAGGCAAGGAGGTACTTGAGTATGGGAATAAATACTGGCTCATGCTGGATGAGAAGGAGACGAAGCGAGTCTATCCTGTCAAAGAAGTGAGAGTGTAAGTGCTCTGAAGTTTGTGGGTCCTTCAAGTAATGTAAAGCCAGCTCCAGAGATCCTCATGGGTAGTGTGTATATTAAATCCTGTGGGTGCTGGCAACGCCTGCCACACTCCCTCAGTGTCTAAAACCTGGGTAGTTACTGTGGCTTTGTGTGTTGTATGTAATTTGAAACAATGCTGTTGGGTGACCGAGTTCCCTCTGTTGTGGTCATACCAGCCTTCAGTTGCCTTCAGTTTATTTCTTGGCCTTTATGTCACAGAGGAATGCCATGGAATACTAGTTTCCCAAGGGTGTACTTGCTGCTTTAGTTCTTAGGGGGAGGAGAAGCTAGTGCTCTATCTTCAGTCTTAATTACAGATGGAGATTGGAGGAGCCTTGCTGAAGATAATGCTCCTGAGTGCATTTCAGAGAGGTCACCAAAGCACGTGTTTAGGTAGGGGTTTTGACACAGTTGTCCTTGGTAAAACCTCTGGCTAATGTCACTGTGATTCTCTCTGCCTCCTCTAGCCCTGATTTCCATACTTGGACTTCCATTCACTCACAAGTCTCTTTCAATACCTGCAGGGAAGAAATGCAGTGGAGAAAATGGGCAGATGATTGGCTTGTTCACCTCATCTCCCCCAATGTTTACCGCACCCCCAAAGAAGCCTTGGCATCCTTTGATTACATTGTCCGTGAGGGGAAGTTTGGCACTGTGGAAGGTTTCTTTGCCAAGTACGTGGGGGCCATTGCCATGTTCTTCATTAGCAAGAGACTGAAGAAAAGGTTGGTACCACTGAGCACCAAGTGCACAGTCATCACTCTTAATGGCCATAGCTGTGAACTTCAGAGCTTTAAAGAGCAGAACCTCACTTTGAAACCAAACCATTTAATGCAGTGTGAGTAACAGCTGTGTTTCCCTACCTGTGGAGGTACCGAACTCCTCATCTGCTCTTTACACACTAGCTGTCCCCCTCACCTTAAAATACCTTCCTGATTTCCCCAGCAAAGACCAGCCCAAAAGATTAGAGATGATGAAAGGTTCAAGAACCAAACCTATGTTTTCAGTCTAGTTCTTTTCTTTGTTTAGGCATCACCTTCGAGATGATGTCCGAGAAGACTTGTACGAAGCAGTTGATAAGTGGGTAAAAGCCATTGGCAAAAATAGACTGTTCATGGGTGGAAGTCAGCCAAACCTTGCTGACTTGGTAAGTGGTTAATAACTGGTTAATTCCTGTTTCTATGGTTACATATATTGCAGATTACCTAGTTGTTCATCCATGTGAAATGATGAATATGAACATAGGCAGAGAAGGTGATTTACATAAGCTACAGGCGCATAGAACACTTTGTTAAAATAGAACAGTATTTGCTGTTTTCCTTCAGCAAAGTGTTCTCTAAAAAGAACCTGCAGTATTCATCTGCAGGAGGGTGTTACAGATTGTGTGGAAGAGTGAGAAAAGCAGTTTGCAAATCAGAACAACTGCTCTGAACAGTGGGTGCTGGTGAACAGAGCCTCACACCTGCATGGGCTTTATTGCACTTGGTGCTGAGGAAGTGTTCTTTGCGGGCAGTAGTGTGGAGCAGAGTGTGATTCCTTCCCTGGAATGCAAGGGAAATTTTTTTCCACCAGGGCTTGATACTGAGATGGCTTAAATTCTCCATAACTGCATATAGATTCTATCTTTTTTGTAACTATTTCCTTAAAGAAACAGTATGTGTTTTTGCTACCTTTCTGCCTGTTCAATCTTCCTTACTGTTCAGAGCCGTGGAGCGTGCTGTAGGCAGGAAAAGAGCCTTGCTTTCTGTTTTCTGGGCTGCAGATGCACTCTCATTGATACCCCAAGCCATTCTCCACCAATGACTTTCTCAGTGTTGTTCTAATCTTCATCCTGTGGCACAGGCAGTGTACGGAGTGCTGCGGGTCATGGAGGGGCTGGAAGCCTTTGACGACATGATGGTCCACACCAAGATTCAGCCTTGGTACCAGCGCATGGAAGAAGCCATTCAAAGAGCTGCAGCCTGATGTCAACTGCAGCCTCCTTCCTGAAGTACTTGCATGGGGAGAAAAAAACTCAAGAAGGAATGGTTTTTATTTTTTAAAGAGTTGAACGGACTGATCACACCTCATGAACTGACACGCAGGCACAGAAACTGTCCTGTTCAGGGTCCTGAGTTTCTGCAGGGATCCTGCAGTGTGTAAGTGTAAATGAGATGTTTAGAAGGATGGGAACAGGTAAAAGAAAGGTGTTTGGGGCACTGCTGGAAGGAAGAAGCTCAGACTGAACTGAAGAAGCACTGAGCAGACTTCTTTTAGGTGAGAGCCATGCTCAGAGCACATTACTGTAAGAGCAAGCTGCTTTCTTGGCTAGGGAGTGTTACAGCCAGATCCGGTCTGATGGCTCTGAGCAGCTTTTGCTTCAAGCTGTCTTCCTCCATTCATCCACATGTCTTTTCCTGACTGAGACAGTGGATGCTAGATTTTAAATAAGAGTTTTTCTGCAATAGAATCTTGTAAACCCAGTGCTGTGGGAGCTGGGGGAGAGTCCCCAATTCTGGGAAATGAGCCCTTCCTCTGCTGGGCCGTGCTGTGCTGCCGGGCTGTGAGCTTTGCCATGTGAACGGTTCTGATGATCCTGTATGGTGTGCGAGGATAAAAGCTTCTCTGACAGGGACACGTGTGAGCTCTTACCTGCAGCACCCAGACATCACACCCTGCACAGGCACCGCTACTGCCAAGCACTTACCTGGAACACCCCTGAAAATCAGTTTGTTTTGAGGGAGGAGAAAAAATAGAAGGGTTAAGAAGGATTGGTGCGCGTGGGGGATGTGTGAGGGTTGCTGCTAGAGCAGCTGAGGTGGGAGCGATGGCTGCAGGTTGGGCTGTGGGGTTGCTCAGCCCTCAGCGGTGCTGGGGTCGGGGTTGGTGGTGTTTCCCTGAGGGAAGGTCGGAAGGAAGCAGCTCGTTGCTGCGGGCAGCAGAGCCCGCGTACCCGCACCCTGCGCTTTGAGGGGCTCTGCGGGTGCGAGAACCGCTACGGGGACAGTCCTGGTTTGCTTTTTCCTTCAGTGTACAGATTTTAGAGGGAATGAGTTGCGATTTCAGTTCTGCTTTGGCACTGAGGCGAAAGAACGTTCGCAGTCGGCGGCTGTTCTGCTCATCGCTTCCGCGTTTGCTGGAGCCGTTCCGCGCCGAGAGCGGCGCCCCCCGCCCCGCCGCTCAGAACGAGGCTCCGCGCGCCTCGCGTTGCCATGGCGACGGGGCCCGTTGTGGGCGGGGCGGCGCGGCGCGGGGGCGGCGCGCGGCTGCCGAGGAGGGTTTGAACCGCCCAATGGGAGAAGCGCGGGCGGCGGCGGCGCGGCGGCCCCGGAAGTGCTGCTGCGTCTCCTGCCCGTGGTGCGGCGCCCATGGCAGCGGGTGGCACCGCCGCATCGCCGCCGCCGCCGGCGAAGACCACCTGAGGCGGACCCGGCCGTGGAACGCGCTCGGCACCTCGCGGTGAGGAGCAGGGGGAGGAGAGGCCGTCGGGCGGCTCGCGGGGCGGGGCGGGGAGCGGGCAGCCCGGCCCTCGTGTCCTGCGCGCGGAGCCGAGGAGATCCGCGGCGCGGCGTCGCCGTGCGGTGCCTCTGGTGACGTTTGTGTAGCGCAGCTGTTGTGCTGCGTCCGCCGTGACGGCGTGCTTCTAGAGCAGCGCTGGCCGCTTTGCGCTTCCGATTCCGAAGCGACGCAGCGATCCGCCGCACCGGCCGCCCGTCCTTCCCGCGCTGCAGCTCGGGCCGCCGTTCCTCGCCTGCAGTCGGTGTGACCGCCTCAGTTCTGCCTCGGTTACGGCGGCAGCGCTGCAGATGAAGCGCAGGAGGGCAGCGCTGCTCCTTTCCCTGAGCCGGGTGATGCTGGCCGTGCCGCAGTATTTCCTCGCCCGGTCGGTCACTGCTGTGTTATGGTGTTACTCACCAAAACCGGACGTTTTCCATAACTGATGTGGTCGTATTGCCTCCATTCAGAGCAGGGTATTACACGATCCTTGGCAAACTGTCAGATTAATCACGAGCTATGCAGGGTTATCTGAATTCTGTTCTAGCAGCAGCACGGCACAAAACGGCACTTTAACACCTGTACCGTGTCCCGTTATGCAGCAGACTGTGAGGCAGTGTTTCCATAAGGTTAGCAGTGAAGCCCCGATGGCTCTGCACGCGCTGGGCACAGCAGCCAATCCTTTCTCCCAGTCCCATCAGCACTCCCAGACCAGCCGCTCGCTCTGCTCCCAGATCAGGTCTGCGGATGGGCTGGTTGGCCACCAGTGCTGTATGTGTTTGCTGGGCTGTGCAGCACCAAGACTTGTGCTGCAGGCTTTTCTTTCAGCTTTTCTGAAGATGATTAAGAGTTGCTGTTAAGCTGTCTGGGTAAGCTCCTCTTGTGTCATTCTAGAAAACAGTTTTCCAATGTTTAAACCAACATAAGTGATGACAGTCTCAGTTGTTTCCTCATCCTGCACTTGTCAGAGGAAGCAACGGCACACTGACTCTTGTTTGAATTCATACATCTGATATATTTGTGTCTGCGTGTTGCCTTTGTTTGAAAGGAGGAGAACGTTCTGAGATTGGCACTGTTCCCCGTGAGCTGGACGTGGTGGTCCTTAGGGGTCCCTTCCAACTTGGGATGTTCTATGACTGTGTTGTTTCTGCATCAGGTTTCCCTCATCCATCGAAAATGAAATGACATCAGTATCTGCACAGAGCACAGTGTCAAGAGGAGCTAAAAGCCTTAAAATAACTGTAAGTAATTATAGCTGAGCTGACAGAACTCTGCTGTTGGATTTTTCTAAGCTTTACAGCTACGTTGTACTGAAGAATCATTACCTCAAGGAAAGATTCGTACCTACACGGATTTCTTTAACCTTGTGTCTCTGGGCTTTTCTGTGCTAGGCAATTAGTGTGTGAATTTTTACATGTATGCATTGCAGAGAGAAAATCTGAAGAAGGATCTGAAGGCTTTGAAGCATTGGTTTAACTTCAAGAATTTGAAGTTAAGCACATGTGAAAGAACTTAGAGGTTCAGAATGATCTTTTTGTTTCCTGTTGGCTTTTCTAAACTTAGCTGTTAAATTGATGCCCTTTTCATCTTCCTCTATGAAATTTCTATTCAGAATATGATGGTGTTGGTTACTGAAATCCTTGATTTGCTCAATTTTCTGGGGCTTTGAACATCAGTGACTCTTGCAGGCACCCTCTATCAATACAACTGCTTTTGTTCTTTAATGGCCATAAAAGAAATTAGCAGCAGAGGCATGATTTGTGTTAACAGCTTTACAGCATAATAGTATGCATTTCAAAATGGCAGATGCTACTGAAAGACAGCACATGCTTTGACCAAAACTGGCCACTGTTGCTCTCTGGCACGGAGGGAAATGTTGTTATTTCCAGTTTCCTTATTCACAGGTTTCCTTTCATTGTATTGCCCTTTCCCGTCTGTGGGAGAAGAGCCATGAAGAACCGTTCCTCATCTCCCCCTTTGCACGTCCATGTGGATGAAAACACCCCTGTCCATGTCCATATTAAAAAGGGTCAGAAAACCACACCTGCAAAATGCCAGGTAGGAGTGTGCAGCTGGGTGTTTGTGAGGGCTGCAGGGAGGAGACAGTCCTGGAAGCACCACAGAGTCTTTGAGGTCTGTTTTGCCATGGTGTCAGAACTGAGACCTGTTGCCTTGTTAACTATATGCATAGCCAGTGGTGAATTTCAGTGATGTGTTTTCTGTGTTTAAGATGATTTAATTATGCTATAGAATATATGGCTTGTTTTCATGTTTAATTAAGCGATTGGTGCTGGACTCCATCATCTCTAGAGGTCTCTCCCAGCCTCTACAATTCCATGATTATGAGAATTGTTGCTTTCAGTGTGATGTAGCTTGGGGGATTTACTCGTTTTATGTCTTGGCTTTGCGTTCTCATATTGTTATTTCTTTAGCTTCGTCCCTGTTTTTGTAGGAAGGGTTTGGGGTAAGGAAATAACTGAATGTTCCACATTTTGTCTTGATTGTATTACAATTAACATGTTTAAAAGAAGAGGGACTGGATTCAAACCATCTTCTGGCATTAAGCACCTTGACAATGTGCAGAGCTACACAGCAGAGAAGGATCTCTTTATGCCCTTGTCAGCAGTAGACAGAAGGCTGTACTGAAGCTGAGTTGTAGCTGTTTTGCATCCTTCTGAAATTAAGAGTGTGAAGTTTTTCTCTACAAGTAATGGAAGTTGCTAGCTCATTCTTATGTCTGCAGTCATGCTGTTACAAATTCTCCACTAATTTTCTCTTTGTTGCTAATGGCAAATCAGGGTCTGACACTGAAGTCACCTCCTCCTATTAATTAATTGCCCATAGGATACTTTGGAATGGCTTTTCTTGCTCATCAGGTATTAAAGTTGTGCAAACACACTTTGACTTTTCATCATTTAGAGCACCTCAAATTTAAAGCAAATAAATGTGGATGTACTTTTGACTCTAAAACAAGGAAAATGCTTCAGGGGCTTTTCATAACCAATCACACTGTATAATTCTTCTACCTCTGGTAGTGCTGTCAGTTGATACAGATGCTGTACTGTGAGATTAATCTGGAATGGAGAAGGAATCTACCAGGTTGTTCCTTCTGCACCCAAATGGGTTTCATTGCATTATTCTTTGTATATCTCCCTACAGAGGAGACTTCCTTCCCCATGCTCTGTCCCCAGATCTTCCTGCTGGCTGCGTAAGGCTTTCATCATGTCACAGTTGTGGCTATTTGAGTCATACAACAGTCTTTACATGATAAGCAGCAAGAATACATCAGCTGAACGTGCAATAACCTTTCCTTCTGGCTAGTGTTAGCCTCCTCTGCTGGCTCATCTGATCTGATGTACCACTGATTTTTCATGTATGTGTGTGGATGATCTTCCATTTCTTTTTGCAGCAATAAAAATTGTACATAGTTCTTAAAAGGTCTAAGTGATTGTTCTTATTTTCTCTGTTTCTTCTTTAGCAAAAGCACAAACAGAAAATGAAGGGGAACACTGTGAACGTGCGCCGAGCAGTGCAGGTGAAAACAAAGGCCCCCTGGATGCCCCCAGGAAAAACATCAGTCCTTGATTCCACCTACAAATGGGAGGTATGGCTGCTTCTGCTTCCCCAAGCAAGGTTTAGCTGAGGTTGAGGAGAGCAGTTGTGTAGTGTATCAGGCTGGAGGGGGCTGGGCTGATATGAAAGAAGGGCATTGTCACTTGCAATCCATTTTGAGTGTTTCTTGTACATCTTTTTCATTTTTTAAATGTAGAAAAATAGGGAATTCATTAACAGCTGATATCCATCTCATGTGTTTTCATCTCTAGAATGCAGACAGATTTACTCGTTAGTTCCTGCTGTGTTTAGCATTGATGTGATCTGACCTGGAATATTGTGTGCAGTTCTGGGCTCTACGATTTAAAAAGGATTTTGAGAGATTTCAGTGCTCCCAGGGGAGAGCAGCAAAGCTGGCTGAGAGGCAGCTAAGGACTGCATGTGTTAAATCATCTTCATCCCACTTCACAGCTGCAGCAACTGCGTAGTATTTTTTCTATTTTCTTCCTGATTAGTTGTCAGCTTAAGCTTTTCAATTCCTGGCTCTTCCAGGATGAGAATTTGAATTTCTCTTTTTTTTTCTATTTTATTCTTTCTGCATTTTTGAACTTTCACAAATGGAAATAAAAGAACTGATTACGTTCTGTTTTTCCTCCCTAGTCTTATTGCAGTGATGTGATGCAGTCTCTAGTTTTGGTAGTTAGGTTTAGAACACAATTTATACCTTTCTGTGAAAAAAAGATGCCATTTATTGTGTTTTTTATTAGGGTCCAACTCACCGCCTGGAAATCACACCTCCAGATTCCGAAAAAGTGATGTCAGTGTTGCGCCTGAGTGATCTCTCTACAGATGAGGAAGATGCAGTTTACTGCAAAATGAATGAATACGAAAGGAAGATAGATAGCCTGATGAATGTGGTGGGAACACTGAAGAACGAGGTGAGGGAACCAAAGACCTGCTGATTCTGGCTTTATAGCTTATTATTTGGCAGGAGGAGACCAGAGCCTTGATGAAGTGAAGACTGCTCAGCCTGTTGCTTATTTTGATTAAAGAAATCAGTCTGAGCTGTTCAGAAAATCAGAACTAATTTACTGGAAAATTCACTATGCCCTACTATGAAAGTTCTTTAAGCCATGTCAGTTTCATAAGGTATCACTGTGCTTTAGTTTCCAAAGAATCTTTCTTCTACTCAAGCCCAAAATCTGAGTAGTTGTCACTCCAGAAGGTGAAAAGCACAGCTTATTGATCTTCTATTCTCAAAGAATCCACTTATTCCTCAAAATAGTTTCTTCTGATTCTCCCTTAAAATACAGACCAGTGATATTGTGTTTTCCAGCTGAAGAGCTTCTCATGTACTTGACACCATTTAAAAAATGGATAGGAGAGCTTTCCAGATTTCTTTAGATGCTTGGAGAGAGAGGGAAGGGTAACTATTTATTTCCTCTGAGGGCAGCAGAAATTGTATTCTTACATAATTTATGCAAAAAGTTCAAATCAGTAAATGAGAATAGAATTTGAGTGTATTTTTAATACTAAGCCTTTTCTATTCCATTTGTGCTACAAAAAATTAAAGAAGTTACTTGTGTAATAGTAAAAAAAAAAATAATAATAATAATAAAAATTCAGTTTTGATACTTAGTAAGTGAATTGAATCGTGGCATCGTTTAACTAACTCCATGCTGTAAGATCACTTTCATTTTGTTAGCTGCAATGCTGTGCAAGCAGGGGAATCTCAGATGACCTTTTCTGCTGTAAAAACAAACCAACCTGGTGCACCAATTCTCAACCTCCCTCCATATTCTCTCTTCTTGTGTGTTTTCAGCTGTTTGTTGTGCTCCCAGCTGCCCAATGAGGGGTGCATGAGGAGCAATGGTCAACTTGTGGTTTATCTGAAATTCTGTTTAAATATCTTTTTTAGGCTAAGTTGCAGAAACAGGAGCAAAAGCAGCAAATGACAAAACGTCTGCTTGAGGAGCAGAAAGAAGAACTGAATGAGGTCACACAAGAGCTGGTAGAAACAGAGCATGAGAACACGCTGCTCAGGCGCAATATTGAACGCATGAGGGAAGAGAAAGATCTGACTATGTAAGAAAGCTCCAGTTCTCCATTGTAATTAGTGGTATTTACAGGACACCTTACTGCTGATGTTATTTGAGGGTGTAGTTTGTACCCTAGGTTGTGGTGCTGCTGAGGAACTGATGGTTTTGGTTTTTTTTACCATCTGTTACAAAGGGGAATTCAGATGGCAGAAGCTGCAGAGAAGGATTCTAACGTGGTCATAGGGATGGAAAAAATCCTGCTCTGTTGGGAAGCTGAAAGAGGTTGGCTTCAGTAGCCTGCTGTGGGGTTGTCATGGCTTTGCAGTTAATAGTTTGAATGTTGAGATATTATTTGGATTGTGATTGTGTTGATACGACAACAAATAAATGCGAAACTGAAAATTAGAGAATTTCTGACTTCTGGAAAAATCACACTGAGGCCCTCACCCTATGGGAGGGCTGAATTGTGTTTTTTTCTTAGTGATCCCTGAAGATCTGTGATGTTTTTGTATGTGTCTGAAGAATTAGGGAAGTTTGCCTCCATTGGGGCATTAGTGTTTGGAGAGTTCTTTTTCTTGAAAAGATCACCAGGTTGTTAATACTGTGGATTCCTTCTACCAAAAATATGAATACTGCTGAAGTTACAACCTCTAGCTAAAAATTTGGAGCTGGATGCATTAGTATTTGTTCTTGTTTCATGTTGAGCCACTTGAAGCCTTATCTCCAGTAATGCTTAAGGTCCCAGGGAATGCCCAGCATTGTATTTGGCCTTAGCAGTGTATGTAAGCTTTGGTACAAACTAAATTTGTCCCCTCAAGTTACTATTTCATAGTTGTGATCCTTGCAAGCTTTGTAGCCTTCTTACTGTCTTCTGTCAGAACAACTCCTATGGTGTGAGAGGGTGAACTTAGGTAGCTTTTATCCTTTGTTTAGTGTATTTTTTTTCTGTTTTAATCCAAATCATTGTGTATTCATACTGTCTGGTACAGCTGCCAAAGCTTCATGTTCCCCTGATGGCTGAATTCTCATTGCAGGCTACAGAAGAAGTACTTGCAGCATGAGAAAGAATGCCTGATGACCAAGCTGAGTGAGGCAGAGAGGGATGGAGCAGCAGCAGCCAGAGAGATTCATGCCCTGAAAAATACAATTGAGAGGCTCAATGTTGTAGGTGTTGGCTTTTTGTTCTGGCCTTTGCTGTGTTTTACTGTTCTATGGCTGTCTTAAAAATATATATAAATTGTTACAGTTTCTGATGCAGAGAAATGTAAGAAGTTGAGGGACTTAACTTGCTGAAGATGTTTGTTACATCTCTTTAGAAACTGGGTATTTATTTGCAGCATCCAATCACCTTCTGTGCATGTGGTGCTGACTATGGCAGTACCCATGCTTTTATCAGCTTCATACTTCAATTCCAGGGTTTGCATGTGAACAATACCCTTCTTTTTTTCTTCTTCTTTTAGGAGAAACACATGAGCAGCTCAGACATTAACATGCTGACGAGACAGAAAGAGCTGCTGCTACAGAAACTGAGCACCTTTGAAGAAACCAATCGTACACTCCGGGAACTTCTCAGAGAGCAGCACGAAAGGGAGGTGGGCAGTGCTTGCTGAGTGCTGCAATGGATGAGTACTGAAGGCAGTGTTGTATAATGGACTGAAAATGGAACTTGAGTTTGAGAGCTCTTTAACTCTTTATTGCAGTGCTGCCTTTGACCGTTGTGTCAAAAAGGATGGTTTTGTTTATTTTTACCTACTTCACTAAAATAAGGTTGAGTTTTCTGCTGTGGGGATGTCACAGCATCTAAGCCTTTGGCTACATTAAAAAGTGTAGGCACTGTGCTGTCGAATTTCTCATCTGGAAATTGCTATTCTTCCTGTAGCTTTTGTTCCCTTTGAACACAAGCAGGCCAATGTTAACTATTCTCTCAGCCACCAGTGTGACTGGAGAAGAAGATTGAGTTCTTTTATGTGACTCTCTCTGAATAATGAGAGAGTTCTAAAAGTTCTTAATTTGCCATCGTGCTTCTTGTTATCATCTTTGTGTGGGAGAACTGGGAAAGCTTTTTGAGATAGGTTTTGATATGTGAAGTACTGAGCAAATTCCATGCTTGGTATCTTCTGGTAATTGCTACTGCAGCAAGGGGGAGACCTGTTGATTTCTGCAGTTCCATCTTCAAAATCTGTCAAAAGCAGGCTTTTTAGTTAACAGTTTTTCTCACATATTTATTTTGCAGAGGGATGCTCAGAAGATATTGCAGAAGCAAGGTGTGCTGTTGAAAATGTTGGCTGACTCAGATACGGAGAAGTTGGTAAGCAAACCAAAATATCTTATTCTGCAGGGAGAGAGAAAATTGCAAGCTCTTTGTGTTCAGCCTTCTGGTCTTACTCTAATGCCTTTTAGAAAGGTATTCTTGTGTTCGTGGTTGTTGGAGCCCCTCTGATTAACAACCTGCATTACAAAGTGAATCGATTTTCAGAGCCTTTCAAATACGGAGCTTAGATTGGAGATACCACAGCTGAGACATACATACAAGGATATTATTATGATTTGCAGTATTCTGCTCTGAGAAACAGTTTGGGATATTTAAGTGTGTCCTTATCACATCCAGTTCAAGCACAAATGATTCTGCTTGACTTTTTCTTTGTGCTGGATGTAGAAAGCAAGAATTATACTACATACTTCTTAAAAAGGTATCTCTGGGAGTGGCAAAGAAAAAAATAGCTACTACAAAAATACCCTGACAGCTGGGATATTGTTCTTCAGTTTGGATATTATTTTATTGTTTCTGTAGGTTTATCATGTTATCCTTATTGATAGCAAAATATATATAGGGTAAGCCTTCTGTTCTGCTTTTGTAACTGTGAATGATCTGGCACCATTTTTTTTCCCATTTCCTCCTCTGTAAATTGAGCAAAGTGTTCTTATATTGCCAGAAATTATAAAATTTGAGATGCAGGCAGTGTCCTTAATCTGTGGACTATGTAGCCCTATCAAGTCCTGGTTTCTGATTGGGTGTTCAGAGCCCTTTTAAGCAATTGTATGTTTCCTTATTGCTTTCTGTTTGAGGAGACAGCAGACTTTTTTTAAAGCTAAAGGTGGTGTTGCTGTGGATACCAGACAGAGTTGTGGATCCAATGGTGTCTGGAGGGAGGCAATTACACCTGTTTCCCTCCACCTGCTAACCTGAATGTGTTTGTTACTTAAAATCTGAGTAGTGTTTGTTTTCCAGCAACTTCAGATGAGGCTTGAGGAGAAAGAAAAAGAGATCAACAATCTTGCTATTCAGATACAGGAAGAAAAGGTAGCTTCCTTATTCTGTTTTCCCCTTCTTGCTCCACCTTCACAAATAGTCCAGAATATGGGTTTGTACCTGCAGCCAATTACTTGATAAGGAATCAGATGACTGATTTGTTTATAAATATATTGTTTATACGTATATATTTATAAAAATAGACAGCTACTTATTCCCACACAGCTGTGGGCTCAATATTCCACTGGGAAAACATCCATCACTAAGATTAATAGGCAGTATTCTCTCCTTGTTTGGGCCTACTACTGAATTACCTTTCTGCTTAAGGACTGGTGGGTTCTTGATATCAAATTCCAGTTTGCTCCTCTGTTTAAGAAGGAAAAGGCAAATGTAGTGAATGAGATGTGTTTCACTTGAGGATGTTTTTCACTTGAACAAATCTTCCACGTCAGTCATTTACGTCTGATATAAAATAAATGGTTATTTATTTGTTGCCCATTTTGCTGGAAAAGAGGAGCTGTGAAGGTCCATCTAAGAAAGGTGGAGATGGCTAGAGACAGCATCAGATTTCTTCACCAAATGGCTATGTACTGGAAACTGTTCCTTCTTACTTGCTTACTGAAGAAAAGCATGTGAGACTTGTTTGCTTCTTATTTAGGAACAGGCAAAGACAGCAGGTGAGCTCTCAAAATCTTTGGAATCTGTGAGAGGCCATTTACAAGCACAGCTACGACATAAGGAAGCTGAGAACAACCGTCTGACCACGCAGATCCGGGTACGTTTTCCTTCATGTACTGTGTGTGCAAGTGGTTGATGAGAGTATTTCATTTTGTTAAGCTCTACAGCTGTGTAAAGTAACAGCATTATGTGTAAGTATCTCAGTTAATAAAAAGAATGTTTTTGGGTAGGTCAGAAGGCTCGTAGACCCATATTTCCCTTGGTCAGGGTGGAAATCAGTATTCTGGAGAGCAGCTTGTGAAAGAGGAAATGAAGACTTTCTCAGGAAATATACAAATAGGAATGAGGACAGACAAGTTTAGTTCTGAAGTACCAGGAGGCTGTAAGAGTTATGGCCCTTTAAATTAGAGTGAGATTTGCTTCATTCCATTGGTGTTTAAAGGATGTTTGAGAGTCAACTTTTAATTCCGATATGTGGAATCTTTTATATCAAGGTGGAATACTGGGAATGATTTTTGTTTTTTAAGCCATTCTAGAAACCAGATTGGTAATAAAGACTCTCCTGAAGGACTTAATTTTGGCATCTTCAAACTAGTTCTTCTCCTATATTATTATTTTGTAACTTGCAGTGAAATAATTTGTGTAGCTAGAGTAGGTTGTAGCTTTTTGTTTACAAGCAGACAACACTCTAGAATGCATTGGGATTAAATATGTATATATAGCTTTGCATTCTTTCAGCTTCCTATATCCACGTGGGCATAAATGCTTTTTTTACTCTTAGAGTTTGTGCTGATGTATCTGTTAGCTTTAGGGCAAGGTTAAGTAGCAAGTACCCACAGGCTAAAGGTTTGAGGTACATGCCAGTCTTTTTCCATTGTTTCTAGGAAATTAGTTGCTGCTTTTGGTATGTAGGTATAAGGACATTATTCCCTGTGCTGTGTTTTCTCCCCCCACGGCAGAATCTGGAGCACAGTGAAGCTCAGCATAAGGCAGAGGTGGAATGTATCAAGGAACAGCTGAAAGAACTAAGACAGAAGGCAGACCGTGATAAAGAAGCCCTGAAGAAAGCCCTCCGTGCACAGAAGGAGCGGGCAGAGCGGAGTGAGGAGTGTGCAGGGCAGCTGGCTGTACAGCTGGCAGAAAAGGTACCAATGATACACAAAGAGAGACCTCATTTCAGGTTGTACCTCTAAGCCTTTGGTTTCTGGAAGCAGCCCTGGGGAAAGCCTCTGCTTTCAACTAATGAGGTTTATTTTTGTCTCAGTGCCTTGGCCCATTTGCGCTAAGTTTAGAATAAATCCAGTTTTCTCTGCTGTCACAAAAGTAGCAGGTCTGACTTTTTTGACCTTGTTCTTCAGAACTGTCTGAGGATTGACAAAAGCCAGGAAAATAAAAACTTGTGGTTTTGGCTGAGAATTCTGAATGAAGTTGTTTGTTAATCCACAAACTAGTTAGAGCAGAAAAGTACGAAGGCTTCAAAATGCACTGGAATTTCCTACTGAAAACTTACTGAAGGATATCAAGTAAAAAAAGAAAAGTTAGATGGTCAGAAGGGAATGTGGATTTTATGCTACCTTGATCTTTTAGTTCTTTTTAGAATACTGGAGACCAGAGCCAGTACCAAAATTTTACTTATGCTTTATACTCCTGGTTATTCATTTGCTGTCTTCCTTTCAGTGCTGTTATGTTTATTTTCTAACAACAGTGTTGTTGAAGACCTCTATGTGAAGAATCGGGAAGAACAAAAAGAAATGCTTTGATATTTTTAAGTCTTAATGAAGTCTCTGCACATATGATGCTTATTCATACCAGCATGCTGTCTAGATATCCCACATCTAGTCCAGTGACATTTCTGTCATCTGTGTTTCCTTTTGATAGGACAGTTACGTTGCAGAGGCACTTTCTACTCTGGAGTCTTGGAGGAGTCGCTACAACAAAGTAGTGAAGGATAAGAGCGACCTTGAATTGGAGATGGTTACAGTGAACAGGTTAAAATAAGATCAGTATGAAGAAACTAACATGAGCATGAATGAGTTTGTAGTTCAAGGGTGATTTAATTGAATACAATAATTAAATAATTTGAGTTGTCAGTAAGCATCCAAGCAAAACCAGCCCTGTCAACGGGGTAGCAGAGTTTGGAGGGATCAGGAGACAAAGGTGTGGCTTCTATTGTTCACTTGCCACAGCAAAGGTGGGCTGCAAGGGTTTACTCAAGCTTAAATCTCTCTGATCCTTTGCCTTTTTTAATGCTTTTAAATAATTGGGGATTTCTTTCTTTTGAGATATTTGAGATCTTTGCATGAAAGGGATTAGTTCATGGCAGTTTTCAGATGATAGTAAATAAAAGTGTAGCACTGCACTACAGTTGTTGCTGCAGGAAGAAAAAGTAGGTAGGGATATGAGACAACAGAGAATTATCTCTTTATGTGTATCTTAGAGGCAGTGCATTTGAGTTCCAGGGAGACAATTCAGGTTGGTTTTTGGTGAATGAAAAAGATTGAGGTAGCTGAACAGAATGTGGTAGATACGTATATGTGAATAAAGCAGGAGGACAGAAGGATAGTGAAAAGCCATGTCTCTGAAGCTAATAGTGAAGAATTAGGGGTCTTACTCTTTCTTCTCATTTGAGGGTTAATTTTCTTTCTGCATGGCAGCCGTATTGCAGATTTGCTAGAACAGCAGGCAGGCCTGGAGGACAGGATGCGAGAGGACAGAGATGCCTTGATGGATAAATTGCACCAACAAACTACAGAGACCACTTCTTTCAGAATGGAAAATGAAAGACTAAAGGTTAGTGACTCAAAGCTGAGATGCTGCACAAAGAAGCAGAAATTATAATGAGTTTCTTGGCCTCCGACAACTGAAGTGAATTGCTCTGTTGCTGCTGCTTAGTTTCAAACTTGTTTCACCATCTCCTGAATATGATGGGGAAGCTTGCTAGGGAAGTTTGCTTATTTATTTCTTTTCCAATCTAGACAGCATTAAGCAGCTTGGGTAACAGTTACGTTCACACACTCAGGAGAAGATGCCTTTTTTTTCCAGGCTAGTGTGGTCCCAATGGAGGAAAAGCTGAATCAAGCACACATGGAAGTACAGCAGCTCAAGAGCTCTGTCAGGAATTATGAAGAGTTGATTGAAACCTACAAGTCACAGGTGGGCACCTTTTGGATTTCTTCCTCACACAGATGTGCTTTTTCTCATTACTGTTGTGGTTTATTCTGCTAACCTTTCCATTGCTCTTGGAGATTCCTGTGGTTTTGATTCTTTTGGCATTCACACTGCCATGTGCTTTAATGCGAACATGTGGGAGAATTCCCTTCCTCAGTATCTGCTGGTAACTGCTATCATTAGGGACAGCTATAGCATTAATCTTGATTAATGGAGAGGAGAAAAAAAGAAAAAGACAAACCCAACACAGGCCTGAATTATTTTTCTTTTCCTTACTCCTTTTCAAAAGGTAAACAGTGAGATCCTGTTCTTTGCTTTTTCAGTCTGATGAGTTCTGTCCCTGGATTGTTTGGTTTTGTGTTTTTCTTTGTGGGGGAGATTGGGAGAGAGAGGGAGAGGAGTAGATTTTGGACATTTTGGTATTTAGGAACATAAAGTAAAAGGGATGAATATGTGGCAGAAAACCCAAATGATATGGGCAGGAGAAGCAAAAAATGAATTTCCATTCCAAGTTTAGCCTGGAGCGATAGGATGGTAAGAAACTTCTTGGTGATTCTTGAGCAGTTTTAGCTACTCCAAAACACAGCATGTGTGTTGAAAACTATAAATAACAGGTAAAGTATAGTTGTTTTTTGTATGCCCAGGTGTTGAAGACCCGCATGGAAGCAGATGATGTAGCAGCAAAACTGGAGAAGTGTGATAAAGAGAAGAAGGCACTTAAGGATGAAATGAACAAGGAGATCGAACTGGTACTAATTCCTCTAAGGGCTGATATGTTGTAGACATTCGTTGCCTTTTTTTGATTGGCTTTTTTCAGGCTTTGTTCATTCTGCAAAAATTATTGAAGATGTAACAACTTCTTGACTATATAATGTTCTTTAGAAATGTTTAGATTGTGTAGTGCGTTTTTTTGCTGTGGAAGTGGTGGCTTAGGATTGTGCCATTGTCTGCTATGGAACAGCTGTCCTTGTAAAATAGTCCTTGTAAAAAAACTTGTGCTTCTAGTAAAATTGAAGCCCAGGATCCATGGATATCAAATCATAAGGGGGTAAAGACCTTAATTACACTTTGAACTCCAATACCTGACAAATACCCACAGTGTCCCCATGGTGCAAATTAACAAAGCTTTCAAAGGGATACTGTTTAGACTCTAGACTAAAAAGTTTCTAAACGTTTGAAACTTGCTTATTTCCTTCGTTAGGCTCGCAAGCAGTTCCAGAGCCAGCTTGCTGAGTTGGAAAAGCTGCCTGAGATCCTGAGGATCACAGAGACACAGTTGGCAGAATGTCAGGACCAGCTTCAGAGTTATGAGAAGAAGAACATGGACCTGTCTGTCATGATTGCAGATCTTCGTCAGCGGGTAAGGGACTGGCAGAGAGCTCCTGCAACACAGCATCTCTGAGTCTGAGACCAAGATGAATTTCTGATCACAGGAAGGTTCGAACTGCTCCGTCTCTGTTCTTGTCTCTTGTTGAAAAGATTAAACGTGCACTGCAAAATAAAGGTGTGTGCCATGTCTTTGTGCTAGAAGCTAACAGTGTAGCTACCAGCATTCCTTACTGCTTGAAAGGCTTCTAATCCCTCGGTGCAGAACCATAACGGGACCTGAACTGCAGCAGTGACAACACTTGCAAATGTCAACACTCCCTTCTGTTACTTCCATCATCTTGTTGGCTTTTCCTCCTCTGGTCTTCTGCTGATAATGCTGTCCCAACCTTGTTTTCTCGCCCTCATCTCAAGTCGTTTTCTCAGTCCCTGTTTTATGTTCCCAGGAGCACTGTGTAGGGGTTTCAGGACAATTGTAGACAGGCAGGACATCTACAGTCATGCCTCAGGATGCAGCAAATAATCTTATAGTCTTGACAGCTTTCCTCTCCTTGGCTTGGAATGGTAAACCTTCCTCGTGTTTAAGTCTGTGGTGTCTCTGTAGGCTCCTGTCAGGTATGTGGCTGTTCTTAGTGCGTGTGCTTTGCTGTTCTTTAGAGGTGTCTGCTCTGCATGCAAGCTTTTACCAAGCTGGCCTTTCCTTTCAAGTATTGAAGAACTTTCTCATACCTATCTAAACATTAGCTGAAAGCTCCAACAAAATGGATGCTATGTGTGTTCAGTGCTGTGCCTTCTATCCACTATTCCTTTTCTAGGACTCTCCAGAAATATGAACTGAACATTTTCTTCTGGAGAGCAGCGTGCGTTTTAGGTGGTTGGTCGTGTGTGTAGTGACTGTTCTGTAAAGTAACCTATGGCTGTAATTTTTAGATTGAGCTCCAGGGGGACAAAATGGAGATGACAAGAGAGAGGTATCAGTCTGCCCAGGAGGAGAAAAAGCAGCTCACCTTGAAGGTGGAGGAGCTAGAAAGGTTAGAAATATTAGGCTCTCTTGTTCTATTAACCTTTCCATATTCTATTGTGTTTTGGTTGTTGTTTTTTTTTTCCACAGAATTGAAGCATCTTCAGTCTTGTTCCCATGCCCCCACTTGCCTCCAGGATTCTGCACATTTGCTTATCTCTCAGGGATCACTAATCCACTAGACAGGGAGTTGTAGGTTCTTGCAGCAAACTTGACAAACATTGTTAGAAAGGACTGTGCTTACACAGCAGATACCAGCTCCTTGTCCAGTCTATCCAGACAGATTGGAGGTTACTGAATATTAGACTATTTTTGTTTGCGTTTATCAGTTCTTGTTAGTGACAATACCTGGAGAAAGGTGTGTGTGTGAATACTCAGCGTCCTTCAATCTTTGAAATTCTGATTAGAGAAATGAAGTATTTATTAGGACACAGAATCACTTTCCAGGCTAGTCAAGACCTGACAAAAAGGTAGTCTGAAACACTCTCCATTTAAAATGAATAGGTTTTCTTGCCTTGTCTTAACCTAGAAAACTAGAAACAACGAGTGCCCAGAATGTGGAGTTCCTTCAGGTCATTGCAAAGCGTGAGGAGTCGATCCATCAGTGCCAGCTGAGGTTGGAAGAGAAGACCCGTGAGTGCAGCTCCCTGGCTCGTCAGCTGGAAATGGCCATTGAGGATGCCAAACGACAAGTAAGGGATTTCTTTTTTGATGTTCCTGCAACTACCCAGACTGTAAAATGAAAATGCCACCCCAGCCTATGACACTTTTGTTTGCAACAAAAGTAAGAAAAGCCCTGGCTGACCTGCTGGTTATGTACAGGAATCTGTGCAAGTAAATGTATAGGGGATTTGTGGACATCATTCTTCCACATTCTTCCACCTCTGACAAGGTTGTTTTCCTGTTGTTATGCACAGGTCGAACAAACTCGAGAACGAGCAACATCCAGAGAGAGGGCAGCCCAGTCCAAGATGCTGGATTTGGAGACGCAGCTGAGTAGGACTAAGACAGAGCTGAACCAGCTGCGTCGGAACAAAGATGATGTGAGTGATTTGTGAGGAGTGCTCACTGTGCTGGCAGCATCCTGGTAGCAGTCTGTCCATAGACAGAGGTCCCTGCAAAAGACGTTTAGAACTTGTTCTAAGCTGAAGTATGTGGAATAAAGCAATCAGGCTTATGTTCAAAGGGGATTTGTGTCAGATGGTGTCAGAGATATTGTGATCCTAGAAGTAAGACTCTTCTATATTATGTATCCATGCTGCTTGTTTACATTATTTTTACTTGAAATTGGATTGGCACATGAATCAGGTCAGGTTGGCTTTCAGAGATGTATGTTTAATTCCACACAACTGTGCCAGTCAGTTTAAAAAGGCCAACCAATTAGCTGCGTTGTCTCCTGTTATTTATTGTTGGGTTGTTGAACGATGTTGGGAATGAGCAGAACAAATGCTAAAGGCTGCAGCACCATCCGTGGCAGTGCCATCCAGTACTGTGCTAATCCTTGCTGGCCGTGGGGATTTCTTGGAACAACTGAAGAAGTGAGCAGGGTGAGTACTGCTGCCTTTCAGCCTCGTTCTGTGCTTTGTTACAGGCAGAGCGCCGCTATGAGAGCCGCCTGCAGGACTTAAAGGATCGGCTGGAGCAGTCGGAGAGCACAAATCGCAGCATGCAGAACTACGTCCAGTTCCTCAAATCTTCCTATGCCAATGTGTTTGGAGACAGTGCCTTGCTGGGCTCTCCCAGCCGCTCTCGTTCTTCTCCGTGAGGGCTGTGCTCTCTCTGCACCTCTGCTTTTAAGCACAAAATGAGTCCTGTGTCAAAGCCATACGTTGTTTAGAAATGGGTTGAAAATGGAGAAATTTCAGGGACTTAAGGGAGAAGTGTTTTCTTTGCAGCAGGAGATGATGGAATGATGGTGGCATAGAATCTTAGCGTGCGGAGCATTAGCAGTGCTGATTTGGTGATGGAGGTTGGCATTACTCTGTAAGCTGTGCCCCAAAACAGGATGGTTTTGCATATGGTGGAAAAGGCTCTCTTCATCCTATGCGCTCTGGATGCTTTCAGCTCTTTAAACCCAGCAGTGCTTTTACTTGTGTTAATGTTTCACACTTCATTTTTTTTCTTTTTTTTTTTCCCCTGTTTTCTGTACTGGGGGAGATCATGTGCTGTTTCTGCTTTTGTTGTTGTTACATGCTCTGGTGGCACAGTGGATGATGGGATGGTGGGAGAGAAGTCCACCGACCTCTCAGGGAAGCGTGAAGCTGAAAATAAGGGACATGCCTGGGGCTTAATGCTTACGAGAGATTATCTCCTGAACCACTGTGGTGTTTGTAAACAGTTTTATACCAGAAATAATGATTTTTTTATTATTTTTTTTTAACTTGACTCTTGTGTGCTCTGTGATCCTCACGTTTTTTAGCGTGATGCTAATTTTGCTTTACCCCTCACCCCAATCCCGGTCTCCTGAGCCTGAATAGCCCCAGGACTGTGCCCAGCCCACCTGCGTTCAAAGGAAAGGCTGCAGCTCAACCTCAGCAGCACCTCAGCCGGGTCTCACTGCGAATGCTGGATGAATGCTGGATGAATTCAGTGTGTGTGTGTGAAATACTCGGCTCATAGGAGAGTGGCTGCTGCTGCTTCATGCCTTCATCAAACCCAACCGTGCTGTGTTAAGCCGGCACTGTGGTGCTGCCCTAACGCTCCTGCTGTGAGCGGTTCCTTGTGGGGACAAACGTAGGCATTGCTTTTATTTTTTAACAGTTTGTATCTTACTGCTGTGTGATACGGTCACGGGGCACGATTTGTCATCAAGGTTTTCTAAGATAATCATTATTGGGGAATTCTGTCATTTTGTGTGTAACTTTAAAAAAAAAAAAAATCCTAAAGGTGCTATGGTAATAAAAAGAAATAAACTAAATTTTAATTGATTATATCGGAGCGTTCGTCTTCGCAGTTTTTCTGGGCCCGGCTCCGGACGCACCTGAGGCACCGCGAACTCGCGCACGTCGTGCCGCCCCCTGGCAGCGCCACAAACGGCCGTTGGGTCACAGAGCGGCGCCGCGGGAGGCGCGAGGAGAGGAGAAGCGGCGCAAAGCGGCACGGCAGCGGAGCCGCTCTTCCCGCGCTCGGCGCTTTCTGCGATAGGCGGTGCAGGGGGGCGCGGCGCTGCGGCTCCTGGGCGAGCAGAGAGGCTCAGAGCTCCGCCCGGCCGCCAGGGGGCGATGGCGGCGCCGCTGGGGAAGCGGAAGTCGCTGTGCGCCCGCTGGGGCGGCGGCGCGGCCTATGGAGGCGCGGGGTCGGCCATGCAGGCGAGGGATCTGCGCTGGGAGACGCTGGAAGCCCTGCGCGCCTCCAGCAAAGGCCGGCTGAAATACTTCCGTCACTCGGACGGGGACGAGGTGAGGCTCCTGAGGGTGGGGCGGCGGGCACCGCAGACGGAGGAGCGCCGGGAGCCCCTCTCGGCCGTAGGGCTGGGCGGTGCTGCGCGGAGCCGCGGGCTGTCGTTACCTTCGCGACAAGTTTCGTCTGGCCAAAATGCGTTTCTCCTCAGGATATCTTGGAAGGATGCATTTCTCCTCTGGTGCTGTCCTCCTATGCCGGCTGGGTCCTGGATAGGATGGCCGGTTCGTCAGCCCAGGCGGCGGCGCGCTCCGGTTGTGCGCCCGGAGGAGCCGCTTCTCACGCAGCTCCGCCCGCTGAGAGCTCAGCGCCCGCCTGCGAGGAGCCTTCATCGCCCTCACGGAGCGAGACCAAGGTAGTGAGTAACCGCAGCCCGGCTCTGAGAAAAAGAGCTTCCTGAGCGCTGCGAAACGTCTGACGCGTTTTGGGTTGTGCTCTGTTAATTTGTGGAGGGAGGCACTTTATAGCATAACGGGGGTGATGTGATGGGTATGAAGGGCGTCGTTCCCTTTAAAGGGGCAGGAGGGGGGAGGCTGAGCTGTGGAGCAGTGAAGTTGATGAACCCCTTGGGTTAGAGAGCTTCATGCACAGCAGTGATATTGAGTGAAGGTTTGCATCATCTTGGCCCCATGGAGACTTGAGAAATATATCAGTGGGATCTGACAAAAGCTCTTAGGGAGGTTGAGGGCTCCTCCTGAAGAACAGTTTAAAAAAATAAATGAATACTGGTTTCCTCCAGCTTAACATCTTCTGTGAATGCACAGAAAGCCTGGGGGTTCCCTCCAGTCTAAGTCAGTGAACTCATGCTGTCTCTGCTTCCAGATTTAATGATTGGGAAAAGTGATCATCCAAACCTTATGTAGCTGTTGGAAGATACCTTAGAATTGTGAGGCTGGGTTATTTAACCGCTCTACAAATTGCACGTTGGTTGACTCATCTGTCTGTTTTCCATGAATAATGTGCAGTTTAAGAGGTTTCCTCCATGAGTTTCTGATAGTGTATTCAGTCACTGATTCTACTTGTATGCTGGCCTTGCAGGGAAGCAGTGATCCTGGTGTGCTGGAAGTGAATCAAGAAGTCCTTCCAATCCCTCCTGTATCTAAAATGGCAAAAGTCGAAGGCTGCATTCAGATGTACGAAGAGATATACAGGATGAAAGGAAGGGTAAGTAAAAACAAAAGCATCCTAAACCACTGCCTGGGACATTGGTGTAGGACAGCATCACGTGGACCACATTGCTGTCTCTGGACAGCTTTGTTTGTATTTCCTTCTGGTGAATTCGGGTGCTACATTGTGATGCTTCTGACACCTGTGCATCCTGCAGGAGAGGCTCCGGCAGCGGCAGGAGCAGCAGGAGCAGATGGTGAGGGCAGCATATGACATGGCAAGAGAACAGCTGAAACGGTTTGATGAAATGAAGGAGCTGAAGCGGCGTCAGGAGATCCAAGAATTGCGAGAAGTGATGGAGAAGAGGTGAGATTAGCTCTGGTATCCTTAAGATGTTATAACGTTTAATCAGAGGAAGGATTAATTTTTGAAAAATATTACAAGTAATTCACTGTGTGTGTGTGTTTGTGTTTTCTTGTTCATGTCTTTAACAGAATGCTTTTTCTGTGTCTGTTTTAGTTTAAAGGAAACTCAGGGACAGCAAGAGAAGCTGAAAGAAGAACACCGACACAGAGCAAAGGTGTGTGACAGTTCTGTGTTATCAAAGAGCATGGCCGTGCGGTGGGAAGTGAGAAGAGCCAACTCATGTATTTGCCAGTACGTGGCAGCTGTGCTGTGAGAAGATATTTTGTGGTGCTGTCCTTGGCCCTGCTGCATTGTGGTGGAAATGTGGTAAAGGCACAGCGTTGTAGGGGCAGAGCAGTGAACTGAACTGAACTGAATTAACTTCTGTTCAGAGATTGCTGAGGGCTTTTGTTCCGCTCTTTGGAACTGGTCAAGGCATTGTCTTTAATACAGGAGGCACTATTCTTTAGGGGCTGGTTTGCCTTTTGTAGAGTCAGAGTATTTTATCTCGTATATAAAAGTGGCACATTGGGATGTTCTTAGGCAGATCCTTATAACTTTGCTAACTTACTCGAGGAATGTGGAATATGCTTTCTGTCTTTAGCTTCTACCAAACAGTCCTAAGATTCCCTTTGAACCTCCAGGCTGTGGTTCCAAGGGGCTGCAGGCAGCAAAATTTGTCAGTCATGCTATTCCAGGCTCTGTAGTACTTCTTTGGGAGGAATTCAGACCATAACTGGTGAAAAATTGTGGGATTTTTGTGTTGTTGTTTTTTTCCATATGCATCTTCCTTTCCTCTGAAAGGACCTCTAAAGCTGCTGTTACTGGACTTTGTCTCATCCTCTCTCCAGATACTGAACCTAAAGCTGCGTGAGGCAGAGCAGCAGAGGCAGCGCCAGGAAGAGCAGGAGCGATTGCGTAGGGAAGAAGGGCAGGAAAGATTACGTCGCCTCTATTCAATTCAGGAGGAACTGCTGCAGCTGAACCAGCAGATTGATCCCAATTACAAGCACAAGGACTTGCCAAAAATTGACCTTTCTGCATACAGTAATCGAGGCAACCAGATCTGTGGGCTGGTGTCAGGACTCATCCGCACCAGTAGTGAGGTAGAGGGTTGTTCTTCCCTTTGCTTGTCCCTTCTTAAAGCTTCCCATGGTTCTCTTCCAAGGCAGCTTGTTCTAATACAGCCTAGTGCTTCCAAGGCTTTGGGCTCTTTGATATGGTTGTCTGCATATAGCAAAGCCAAAAACTGGTGCTGTATTGCCTTCTCTGTCTCTTGATAGAGAGGTTTCCCTTCTCAAATGGATGTGGCCAATACTGAACAAGCCCTGAAGGAAATGCGAGGGCTTATCTCCAGCATGCAGCAAGAAATCGCTGCAGCTGTGGAAGAAAAGAAGAGGAAAGATGAGCAGGAAAAGAAACAGAAGCAGGAGGAGTTACTGAAGAAGCAACAGGCAGAAGCTCAAACTCCTGCCCCTGCACAGCCATCGGGAGGAAAGCAGCAGAAGAAAGGTTGGTTGGGCTTTCTTTTCTCTCCTCATTCTCCTTTTCTCTTTATGCTCTATTTTAGTCTCTTGCCAGATGCTACTTTAGCATCTTATTCTTGTGACAGCACAACTTCTCTAACTTTTTAAATTGTTGTTTTTTCATGCAGCACTTTCAGTTAAGGCAGGGGAAGGCACTATGAAGTGGTACCAGCAGCTTCAAGATGCTGCAGCCCAATGTGCTGCTGCTTTCAGTGCAATGAGCCACTCCAAAGACAGCGAGGTATGAACAAGTGATTAACACTGCTGAAGAGTGATTATCTTCCTCTTTAGTGGATGTGAGGGAGCTTTCGTTAGAACAGTTTCTAACAGCAGCCTCTGTTCAGTCTGCTCATTCATGCTGTCGTATCGCTGCAGCTCTGCCTTCCAGCCTTGGTCAGACCTCTTGTTCTGTGAAGGTTTTTAGAGTGGTGGTGGGTTTTTTTAATTGTTGTTGTTCTTCTGCAGGTTAAGAAGATAAGAATGGAATTGCAGAAAGCAGTTACCATCCCTGTGAGCCAGATCTCTACCATTGCAGGTCAGGAAAATGCTAAGAACCCAATCCAACTATAATGCCTTTAGCTGTGATGATTTTGGTAGGACACGAAGTACCCAAAACTTCTATAATTACCCCTACAAGAGAGAGCTGCTATAGGAAGCACCCGATTCTTTAGAGCACAGCATTGCTTATGGTTTTCAAGTGTCTCACTTCCCTCAGAGGCACCTTGCTTCATCATGATCCAATTTCTTTAATTGAAGCAGTTGGAGGAGCCTCGCTCCTCAGGGTGTAGATCTATGGTTTGTTGATGGGATCTGATTAAGATTTGTCTGCTTTTTCCTGACCTTCTGTCTCTACATTTCTGCTCTATTTACAGGCTCTCAGCTAAGACAAATATTT